AGCAGAGCAGAGTCTGACCTCACTTCCTCTTCCGCCCAGAATTCTATTCTGTTTACTCCTCCCATCTATGTTCCAAGCCATGAGGCCAAGCAGCTGGTTTATTATAACTTAACCAATGAAATCAACAGATTGATATATGACACTCCCACATCAACTACTGTAGAATAGAGGAAAGCGGAAATATCCGAGGAAATAAGAGAAAATCAAGAAAGACAGCAAGCATTTCCAGTGTTCTGTGAGATAAAGTCACTGTAGTGGGCTCTCTCTCCCTGCTCCATCCCCCCCTTCTCTCTCATACAGACAAACCCTCATGCTCTTTGGAAGCATTTTTTCATCGATTTCCCCCCAGATTTCTACCCCTTGGATAATATCCTGGGCTCCCCATATGAATTGAGAGCTTACAATCAGATACTAGATCAAAATGGAGAAAATTCCTGGCCTCAGCTCACAGTGACTCTTTCTCTGTCCATGACTAGGATTCTAGGTAGGCAGACTTGAGATGGCTCCTTTTCTATCATCTTGGGAGCAGTCCATGGCTTCTTTCCCTGCTCTGATGCTTACGGCCTGAGCCTCCTGGAGTATCCTGGTTAGCATCATAGTGTGCTTGCTAATTTGAACAACCAATCCATAGGGCAAAGGTTTTGTTTGTTTGTTTATTGGAGAGAAGGTTTTTCTATATAGCCCTGACCACCCTAGAACTCTCTCTGTAGACAAGGTTGGCTTTGAATTCAGAAATCCACCTGCTTCTGCTTCCCCAGTGCTGGAATTAAAGGCATGAATCACCACTATCAGCCTAGGGAAAGTTTGTTGTTGTTTTTTTTTTTTTTTTTTTATTCTTCCTACAGGCCAATTTTGGACCACTTCTGAGGTAACTCATTGAAAGACATCATAAAAAGAGAAAATACTGATAACACAAGATTAACCACAAAATCCTCTGGTTTAGTCAACTGTCTAGGAACAACAACAACAAAGAGAATAAAATCAAAAGGAAAAGAGTCACTGTGATTGAACATAATAAAAGTATCTTGACTACTTAAATTGGTTGGGTTGTGATGCCTACCCTCCTCTTAGGTAGAACATTTCAGTTATTTTCTGATTCCCATTATAGCTGTTGACTTCACTTGAGACAACAAGGCACATATTTTCAAATAACATTTCCCCTTCGGCCAAATCAGCATTACCTTATAGAGAGATGTTAAAATTCCATCCCCTTACATTAAGAGAGGTTCTAACTGCTCTTTCCCTTTAATTCTCTATTTTCTAGGGATTGCCAGGAGAACATGGTATCCCAGGGATACAAGGCATTAAAGGAGAGAAGGTACCATTTAGACTTTACTTTTGTGCAGTATGTAAGTAAATAGAAAGAAGAGACCAAGGATTCTAAAGTCACTAGAGAAGCCAAAGATTAGCCTAACAAGGCTTGAGCCTCCCAGGATTGATCAGTGCAGGGGACAGACATATAACCTGTGATATGCGCCCCTGGTGTCATGCATCATCAAGGGTATGGGTATGGCACAGAAATTCCAGGTAACCAAATGAGCTAACTTGAAAATGAAAATGTTAGGGCTGAGGTCAAGCTTTGAATTCTCAAATGTCTTTCTGCCTCTTACCATCTGTTTGGATGTGTGTGAAGTTGGCATATCAATATGGTGCCTCCCCCCCCCCCAGGAAATAAGGTATGTAGACCATCTAAAGAACTTCATGAATAGACGTGCCCTTTGTGCCATGTTTCATTGTTGGAAACCAGCTTCGACAAAAATATCACTTACCAGGGTGGGAACATGGGGATCAGAAAAATAGTAAAGAGGGCGAAGATGCGAGTGAAAATAATAAAATAATAAAACAGAAGCATAGAACAGAACCAGGAGGGAGTTCCAGTGAATACTGAAATCACCTGCATTTAATTTCCAATTTCTTAAAATACCCCAATCCCGAAAGATAAGAATAAGATTAAAAAAAACTGCATTAAGATGATACAAGGAAATGAACATAACAACTGAAGGTTATTCCTGAAATACTGCAAGGTCTGGATATTAGCCACACCTGTTGACAATAACCTTGGGAGAGCAAAACCGAGGGATGTAAAATCTAGGTGGGACCTTTGTTTGAGGTAGAAACAGACAATAACCTTGAAGGAGTTAAATTTGTCTTCTAGAAATAAATTCCAACTCTCAGATCTTTGGTCAAGGTGGAAATAGGCTCACATTTTGGAGCCTCCACATTTTATATACAAGTCTGTGTTTCCTGGTACTGTTCAACTTCATATAACGGAACTCGTTTTAGAACGGGAATGTATTTAAAATAATAAGAGTGGGTCCTAGAGTGAGCTAGGCACTTGTAAATGCTTTTGAGGATGTAAGTACAGACGTGAACACAATGGTGAAGTTTGCCTGGCTATGACAAAATACAGCCATGGAAACTGCTGTCTTCCAGCTTCCCATCGGGAACCTCAGCAGAGAAAGAAAGGATCTCTTCTTGTTTTCACAGGGAGATGCAGGTGGAAGGCTAGGCCCTCCTGGACTTCCAGGTCCAAAGGGTGATGCTGGGCCTCCAGGGAAAAGCCTGCCAGGGAAGCCAGTAAGTATCACCTTTTCACTAGGATTGCCCTTGAGAGTTAATGTACTGCTAATTCTGGGCTCCCAGGTTCAAGATACAACTGTAGTCTTTAAGCCTGCCAAAAAAAGGAAAGAAGGAAGGAAGGAAGGAAGGAAGGAAGGAAGGAAGGAAGGAAGGAAGGAAGGAAGGAAGGAAGGAAAGATAGATCTTATACCATAGCTCATAAAGCTAAAACAATTTGAATGTTGGATGTAAGCTGCAGAAGATACACAGGCTGCAGTATTTTACAGATAAACTGAGATGTTTCAAAGGTCCCAGCACCTTCTGTACTGATTCCTCAAGGATCTACGAATCCTTAAACACAGGTTGTGAGCCATAGACCGTACTAGGACACTGCCTTAAAACAAATGCTCAACCTTGCCCTTCTGGAGTTTAAGGACATAACCACAGACCATCTCTCACAGAGAGTGTATATGATCCATGCTCTACTCAGGACACAGGAGATTGTATTACCAGAAAACCCAAAGCCAATATGCTTATTTGATTGGCCTATTTTCTACATTTTATAACAATTATCAATGGCAATAATTCTGAAGATTAGGTGTTTAATTTCACAGATAAAACCCTATATTTTGAGCTAATTATGCAAAATCTAGAACTTTCTAAAAATTTCTCTCTTTATATGAGGCTTACTCAAGTAAAATGAAGGGTAATGAATCATATTTTCAAATGATAACTTCTAATTATTTTTAGTTATGTAGAAAAAGAAATGTAATCATCTTACTTTTTTTTATTCCTTTTAGGGATTAGATGGAAATCCTGGTGCACCTGGCCCACGTGGGCCAAAGGTATACAGATTTCATAGCTAATTTTGAAAAGAATTAATAATTAAGAAAATGTAACTGAAAATGCAAATGTCTGGAACCTCATCCTAACAGGAGCACTTGCTCTCACAGGGTGAAAGAGGACTACCAGGTATCCATGGCTCCCCGGGGGACACAGGCCCACCAGGAGTAGGAATCCCTGGCAGGACAGTAAGTAATATTCAGTCAAGTTACTGCAACCCAGTTGGTTACATATTTGTCTCCAGACTTCTTCATTGCAGTGCTCAAAGTCTTACATAAAGCAGTAAGAAGAGAGAAAAATAGAAGAGATATGAAGAGGAAAGGACAGAATCAAATTGTCACGGTTCAGACACTACTTCACCATAAGCTGCCTTTAAAGGCCCTGAAGACACTGCCAGAAAACTCTTAGAGTGGTAAAACATTTTCAGCAATGTAGCAGAATGCAAACTAAGCATTAACAAGTAGTAGCTTCTCTGTATAGCATAGAAGAAACTTAACAAGAAATATCAGGGGGAAAATTCTCACTCAATTAGCCCAGGCATGGAGGGGGCACTACCTAAAAAAAATAAGCCTGACTAGAGAGGGCAGAAACATGTTCAATGAGAACTTGAAGGTACTGAAGAAGACACTAGGCAATGGAACATCACTTATGCTCACAAACAGACAGAACTAGTGCCGTGAGAATGTCTATATTACCAAAAATCACCCATACACTCAATGTATCTCTGTTAAAATTCCAATGATGTTTTTCACAGAACTGGAAAAAGCAATGCTAAAATGTATATAGAAGCCCAAAGATCCTGAACAGCAAAAGCACTCCTAATCAGAAGGAGAAATTCTAGAAATACAATACCTGATCTGAACAGACACTACAGAGCCATCGTGGCAACACAGCATGGTTCTGACTCGTGAACAGATGTGTAGACCAAGGGAGGAGAGTAACAGACCCTGAAATAAAATCCACACTGCCACAGGCACCTAATTTTTCAGAAAAGTATCAAAAAGATTCATTGGAATACAACAATAGCCTCTTCAACAAATGGTGCAGGGAAAAACAGATCATCAGATACACAAGAAAGTAGACCCATATCATACACCGTGAAGAAAAAAATCAGCCAAAATAAATCAAAGACTTTAATATAAAAACAGAAACTAGGGCTGGAGATATGGCTCAGTGGTTAGGAGCACTGACTACTGGGTCTTCCAGAGGACCCAGGTTCAATTCCCAGCACCCACATGGCAGCTCACAACTGCAGTTGCAGGGGATCTGACACATTCACACCAATGCACATAAAAAATAAAAAAAACAAACAGAAACTATAGGGGAAATATGAGAGAAAACCCCTCGAAATACAGGTCTATGCAAAAACCTTTCTGAAAAGAAATCCAGCAGCATAGAGAGTTAAAAACTGGCGAATGGGAAACTGTGAAGCTAAGGAGTTTCTGCTCCGCAAAGGAAGCAAGCACCGGACAGGAGAGGACTGCAAAGATGGCATCTCTGCGCTAATATCTGGAATCTATAAAAACTACAAGAACTTAAGGCCAAAATAAATAAAGAAAGAAATTCCTCTATCAATAATAGATTAATGAACTAAATAGCTCTTAAAAGAAAAAGCACAATAGCCAATCAATAACTTTTAAAGTATATAACGTCCTTATCTATCAAGGAAATAAAAGTTAAAGCTGCTTTGGGGACTGGAGAGATGACTCATCAGTTCAGAGCTTGAATGTGTGAGCTTTTTAATGAAGCAAGTTCTGCTCTTAGCACCCGCATCAGGCAACCCACAACATCCTGTAACTCCAGTTCCAGGGCCTCCAACACCAAGACTCCTGTGTACACAAGTATATATCATACACATACACACACACACACACACACACACACACACACACACACACACACCTCACCCCAGTCAGAAAAAGCTATCATCACCACAAGAGACAAATACTCTGAGAAAAGTGTAGCTCTTATGCACAACTGGTGTGGATATAAACTACTTCAACATCCACAGAAATCACTAGGAGGTCTCCTAAACACTAAAACGAGAACAACCACATGGCCCAGCTATCCTGCTCTGCGCACATACCAGAAGCCTTCTAGCTCAGCCTACCCCAAAGAGACGGCACATTGATATTTATTTCTTCACTCTTCACAATAGCTAAGGGATGGAACCAGCCCAGGGGCTTTCTCGACAGATAAAGAAAATGTTGTGTGTATACACCAGGAGTTTTATTCATCCCCATAAAGGAAAAGGAAATCATGACATTTGCAGAAAATGGATTCAACTGGAAATCATTCTATTATGTGAAATAAGCCAGACTCAGAAAGACAAATAGTACATGTGTAAGTGTGTGTGTGTGTGTGTGTGTGTGTGTGTGTGTGTGTGTGTGTAAGTCACATAAGTAGAAATGGAAGCAGGGGAGGGGAAGACAAGAGAGAGTAATGAAATGCATCTGAGAAGGAAGCAGAAGGCGTGTCTTATGGTGAGAATGGAGACCACCAGGAAGAAAACAGGCCAGGAGGGGGCAATGGTGGAGGGAGACCCATTGGAGCAATGTGTGTGTGAAAATGCCAGAATGGAAACCATTGATTTACACACTACTTTAACAGTTGATAAAACATTATGTCAATAACTCTTTAAACAGGTAACAAGATTATAGGAAAAAATACCACAAGAAAAAGGCAACAAAAAGGCTTAGATAATAACGATGTTATGAATATTTTTAAATAAGATAAAGAACCCAGCAAATGCTGATACCAACTGCTTTAAAGAAAAAAAAAAGATTTTAAAGATGGGGTGTCACTACATAGGGATAACTGGCTAATCTCACTGCCTAAAACAGCCTGCCCTGGAGCACACAGAAGTCAGCCTTCCTCTGCCTCCCAAGTGCTAAAACTGAAGTCATGTGCACCAGAAATTCAATGGCCCAAAGATATACATAGCCAGAATGAATGTCATTGGGTTCTTGGCTAACTTCAGCCTCACTTGAGTTATTCCAAACCTCAGCATTCCAGAAGTAGAAAATAATTCCAGGTGCTGTTAGTTAGCCATTGACACACACCACTGAATACTGGACCCTGCTTTTTCTTAAGAGGAAAGTGAGAACCCCCATGTGTTCGTACCAGGTTCTACGTTTACATGTTCTAGCTGTTAGCTTGGTGCTTTTGTGGTACTCCTAACTGTGGAAGAGTCTCTGACTCTCTTGCTTGTTCTTGGGACTCTTTTCCTCCTGCTGGGTCACCTTGTCCAGCCTGGACGTGAGGGATTTTACCTTGTCTTATTGCATCTTGTGCTGCTGTGTTTGGTTGTTGTGTCTTGGAGTCCGGCTCTTTTCTGCAGAAGAAACCTAGGTAGAGCGGGTCTGAGGGAGAGAAGAAAGGAGAGGGAGTTGGAAGGAGTGGAGGGAGAGGAAACTGTGCTTGGAATTGTATTATATGCGAGAAGAATCTACTTTCAAAAAAACAATAATAAGCAAATGAAGAAGAGAAAACTGAGTCAACAAAGAAAGAAAAGGAGGCTCAGGTTCCTGAGCCCCATGGGCAATTGGTTTCTGACCTGACAGGATATGAATACATTGCTTGCACACCTCTGAGTGTGCAGCAGCAGAGTGGAATAAAAAAAAAAATCCAAGTAAGTGAGCAAAGTCTTGTGCATCCAGTCTTGAATATCTGGTTCTCTAACTACGGCTTGAGGTCATGGTGAGCCCACTAGAAACTGTATGCAAGACTTACAGAGTTTTCAGATTGTGCAAGTGCCAAACCTCATTTTTCTGCTAAGTAAAGGATGGGGCATTTATGAATATCCCTGGTAGAAGTTAGATAATTCTCTCTCTTTTTACCCAGGGCTCCCAAGGACCCACCGGAGAGCCAGGTATTCAGGTAAGTGACTTCACTAAACTACGCACAGAAGAAGTTCAGTTTTCTTGATTGCCGGAAACTGCTCAAAAGACAGTCGTAGCAGCAATGTTTTCTTCGTTTTCCTAGGGTCCTCGAGGTCTGCCCGGATTGCCAGGAACTCCGGGGACCCCAGGGAATGATGTAAGAACCTGTCCCAAGCTCCCATCCGTGTCTGTTGTAATCAGCTGTAACTCGCAGAGGTTTGAATGAGCGACTTCTGTTTTTAGGGACCTCCAGGGAGAGACGGGAAGCCAGGCCTTCCAGGCCCCCCAGGTGACCCGGTATGTAGGCAGGCAAAGCCTGATTTATGTATCTTTAATGCGCCCAGAAGCCAAACAGCCAACCAAGCAAATTTTGCTGTCCAAACTAATTGCCATGCTCTGTGACTGCTTGGTGATTTTGTTTATCCCCATTATTTTGTAGAGGGGGGGGGGGGGAATTCAAGCCGGGTCAGCATTATTGTGCATGTGTGATGAATTCTTATTTCCTAAGGGTATAATTCAGCTGTACAATTTTGCCCCAGGCTGAGCCTTAGCATTTAAAGTCTTTGTTCCATGGAAAATTGAGATAAAAACAGATAGCCACAATTTCTAGTCTTTCTAATGCTGGGTGAGGAAATGAATTTCATTTTTCTAAATGAGAGTTTGCAGGTTAAGTTACCTCCAGTGTGGTACCTAGCCATTGATTGAGTGCCTCTGAACAGATGCGATGATTCAATTATGAAAATTGGATTGAAAATCTCACAAAGAACGCATTTCGATGCTAACCTTGTGTTACATAGCTTTATTTCAGGTTAAATCTTGCTGTGAGTGACAGTAAGTCCCTTTCAATAGCCTCAGCTCCAACACTTACAGTTTTGAGAGGCCACATGGTGCACAGCATTGGATTGTCCATTGAGTTTTGTATAATAAAATCCGAACCTGGCCCCTCACTGCGTCTTCTCAGATTCTCTCCCCTCCCACACTGCTTGTGCCTTTGAGCCCTTAGCAGCCGCATGCGGCAGCATTATCTGGCTTTCTTTACTTCCAACGCTGAACCGTGTGTCCCTCATCTCACATCCTGTCAACTGTCACTCGGGCTTCTACAGTGTCCCTCTGAAAGGACATGTGAAGACCTGTGGCCCAACCACAGCCCACGCGCCCCAGGTGTCTGTCTTGTCCCTACTTAAGTACCTTTAGAATTTCTGTAAGAGCTAATTTTAAAGCAGACTCCCCACGCAATCTTCCTATATCTCAGAAGCCTGATAATATGCTTGATGAGTGATTTCCTTTTACCAAATGATTAAATAAAACATTATATTACTTAAAACCAACAGCACAGGGAAAGCATAAAGGTTACCTTGTCGTGAATCTCTAAAATATAGGTGTATGATCAAAGCAATGATACATGTGAGCTCGCATGATCTTGCTGACGGAACAGTGACTGTTCTCACATTCTGGTTCCAGCTGTACTGTGTGTAAGTTTCATGCCCTGAAACATAAAGCTAAGCCGGTGAGCCTGCTGGTTAGGGTCACCATCTCCAAAGCAATTGGCATGGCACTTAAGAAACACATACACATATCAACTTCTATGTTCATGTTGTATTATGTTCATGTATATGCGAATAGCCACGGATTTGAGTTTCTCTCTCTTAACTACAGATCGCACTTCCTCTCTTGGGAGACATTGGCGCCTTGCTGAAGGTATTCTTTTGGTATAAAAGGAATTAGATGTTGGTGTGTGGAAAAAGTTAAAAAGGAACTTTCTACCGAAGATACAATAATTAACTGCTCATCCGAAACAGTTCAAACTCTGCTAGAAAACATTTAAGACATAAGAGCATGCATGTCTTATAATAGCGTATAGCATCTATACCAATCTTCCCATTCCCTTCTTTCCGGGTCCACATTGTGGATACGGAGATGGAGGAAGACAGTAAGTACTGAGATGACATACAGGAAGGGGTGACATCATTGATACCTTAAAGTAGATCCTGCCTCCTCTCAAGTACTAGCTTTCTCTTCCTTTCTCCAACCCCCTCTGGCTCACTGCCCTGAAGCCTGTCTGCCCCCCTGTCAGCTCTGGGCAGTCTCAAGAAGAAAACCCGTGCCACTCACTTACAGATGGGGTTTTTATATCATGGAATTTTACAAAATGAGCTATAAAATTCCAACGCCAACAATCGCCCTAACAATCTGTTATCCTGTTAAACAAAAATTATCTCAACTGATTATCCATCCCATAAAGTACCTCAGGCGAAACATGATGGCACACACCTGTAATTCCAGCCTTTAAGAGCCTGAAACAGGAGTACAAGTTTCAGTCCAGCTCTAACTATGCACGCACACAGAGGCATGCACGCACACACGTACTCACACACACACACACACACACACGCGTACACACACACTCACGCATGCATGCACTCACACACATACACCCACTCACACCCACTCATGCATGCACACACACACACGCGTACACACGGACGCACACACACACTCACGCATTCACACACACACACATACACACACACGCAGACACTCATGTGCATGCACTATGGCTACCATTTTTCTTAAATATTTTGCTATGTTTTATCAGTAAGACTGGGGGTCTGGCAGTGGGTAAGACTATGCTTAGGTAGTCTCCATGCTGTCTAGTAAGAGCTGGTGATCCCAAATGAAAATGTAGCCCTTCATTTCACTCTGAGATTTCCTGTCTTCGGATGAACAGAAAGTGTTAAACTGTTAAGTGTACACCACTCACACTTAACAGGTAATTTCACTTATCCAACTGGTGTTTATTCTCATGATTTGCCAAATGACATCCATGTAAACATGAAGAGTTATAGCATCGAATCCATAAAAAGACATAGTCTAGTCTCAAGAAAGAGAGGTAAATATATGTAAATATAAATATTAATATAAAAACTTCTGGCCAAACTTCTGGCCAGGAGGTGGTGGCCCGTGCCTTTAATCCCAGCACTCTAGAGGCAGAAGCAGGAGGATCTCTGTGAGTTCAAGGCCAGCCTGGTCTACAAGAGCTAGTTCCAGGACAGGCTCCAAAGCTACAGAGAAACCCTGTCTCAAAAAAAAAAAAAAAAAAAACAAAAAGAAAAAAGAAAAAAAAAACTTCTGGAGGGGTTATTAGGAACTCAAGGAAAGGAGCATTTTCTTATAATACAGAATATTTGTGAGGGTTTCAAAGAGCTCTCATATTGAATTATAATTATATATCAGTCAGTGCAACCTTACTAATTTCTTTCCCATTTAGTCTTTACCAAAATGTTATGCGCTCAGGCTGGAGGACCATTCTCATTCGTTGAAGATACTTGAAACCCCAAGTAGCTGTGTAATTTGCCCAGATACATAGCGATTAAGTGTCAGACTGACACAAGAATGCACGTCCTCGGGTATTAGGCCCCAGATCCTTTCTAACAGCTGTAATGTAGGAATTAGATGCTTGAATCCCTGAAGGATGAAAAATTTGTATACTTAAGCAGAACTAAATGTTCTGATAGAGTGTGGGATGCCTCACAGAAAAGACAGCAGACTGAGTGGACTCTTCCAAGAGGAGAACCAGAGCCTCAGGGGTCTCGTGGATGTGAGGAGCTGACGGTCTTGCCAGGGCAGCCTCCTCTGACACATCCCAGAATCATCTCAGTAAGTTTCTGAGTCACAAAAGAGCGGACAGGTGAGATGCAGAGAGGAAAGCTTGGCAGCTGATCCCAACGACCTTTATTCAACAGAAGAAAATGGGGAAGCAAGTAGCCCCCACCCAAACCCCAAATTCCAGAATTTGATTTAGAGACTGACCTGTGGACGCAATCTAATAACATAATGTTAAATCCTGACCCTGGAACCCAGCACACTCACTCAAGCTCCAGGCCTGAGCCTTTTACAAGCTGTTAGCTGCTTTCTGCTTGTTAAGATGCCTTTGGCTGGAGCATTGAGAGAGCCTGGCCTGATGCTAACCCCGAACCATCCCTCCCAGCTTTTCTGGGTTAATCTGTGTGGCAGGTCTCTTAGAAGCAGATTGAGCACTGACTAGTGATGACTGCATCTTAATCAGTTCTATAAAATAATACTGAGTCATTTTCCAGAAACCTTTATTAAAAATCAGTTTCCCATGCTTTATCTAACTGAAAAGAATGAGACCGTTATCAAATAAATCTAAGACGTTTCTGTTGAGTTAAAACAATTATCGTTTTTTATCATTTTTTAATGTTTTTCCTATTTTACTAAATACGAATTCCACTAAAATCATCAGTGGAATCATCTAACTGAAAATGTTTCTGAAATCAGTATCTGAAGGTTTTGCTCTATATTGTGTATATGTATATATGTATACATATATACATATACACAAACTTTATCAGATTGTGTTCTCAAATTATATTCCCTACCCCTACTATTTGTTTGGGCTTTTCCATTGAAATGGCAGCAGAGGTGTGTGTGTGTGTGTGTATGTGTGTGTGTGTGTGTGTAATTAAAAGTTCACCAGTATTGTAAATGAAGATTACAGATTAGGCTTGCTCAGTGTTTACCCCCAAACAGCCATCTTTCAGATTGGACAGACAGTCTCTGAAGGTAGAGCGGCCTCACAATTGCTCGTTTGACAAGGGTGCAAATAGATCAAACCTCAGCCTCATACACAGGTTTTAGGAACCGCTCAGTGAAACTGTCTTTATGCTCGCTAGAACTTCTGCGGCAACTGTCCAGCCAGTGTTCCCGGGCTGAAGAGCAACAAAGGGGATGAAGGAGGCACTGGGGAACCTGGAAAATACGATTCTGCAGCCAGGAAGGTGAGAGGTTGCTGGCATGCCTGTGAGTCCTGCAGCACACCTGCTGGGTGTCCCCCCCCCCCCGCAGGTCTGACTCCTCTGTCTTCCAGGGGGATGCAGGACCACGGGGTCCCCCAGGAGTCCCAGGCAGAGAGGGGCCAAAGGTAAGAAAGTCCTCTGTGAGATTCTAACTAAATGAAACATGGAGAATCCTATTTTTAAATACCCTACTCCTATGAAACTTACCTTGGTAACACGGAACAAAGGGCACACGCAGATGATGCTATCATTTTATCCCATCGCCCTGTGCAAAGGACACACCCCAACTGCTCTGATGGGAGATGTTTTGCCCATAGTTACAAACTGAAGTGGTCCAGTGTTAACTGAAGTTGCTGTCTTTTTAGGGAAGCAAAGGAGAGCGGGGCTACCCTGGAGTGCATGGGGAGAAAGGCGATGAGGTAAGAGACTCTCTGATTAAACACTCAGCTACTGCTTCTCTCTATTTGATTCCACAAAGGAAAGACACTGAGTTTTCACTAATGCGTGTTCAATACGGAGGCCATTGAAAACCAACAACAGTTAGGTGTTTTAAAATGACACATTTTTGGTAATTACAGATGCACATTTATCTCCAGTGGTCTAGATGTGGAGGCACAAAATAAGGCTAATAGTTGATATAAAAGTTATGGGGGTTTTGTTTTTAGGTAGCAGGTAATGATCCGAGTCCTTACAAGAAAAGAAAGAAGGGTGAACTCACGAAAACAAACCTCAGGATAGCAAAGAGGTGGGAAGGGTAAATGAACAAGCATAGACCCGAGGGCCCAGCCAGGGGAGACCTCTGTGCCCTGACTGAACTTTAACAACCTTGGTTTCTCCATGGCTCTGCTCAGCTTGGGAGAAATAAGCCGTGCTAGGCATCTGGGCATACTGGTTGAGGTCAGCAGCTCACCCACCCCAGGACCGAGCACCCAACTCAAACGTGCTTTCGAGATAATGGTGTAAATTCCTGACTGTAAACCACAGTGATGCTTAGGATATCCTTCTTGTCCTGCGTAATTCACATTAACTCTTAGAAAAACCAATTAGAATGATGAATTGCTGTTAGTTTAAACAGTTTTGGTGCTAATCTTTCCTAATGAAAGTAAGAAAGCCATCTGGCATATATTAACCTTGATGGTGGTGTGGGAAATTATGACACTATAAAGTCCATCTATTTTCCTGCTTAGAACTGTATTTCACATTGCAAGTTATCATCATTTATTATTGTTTTGTATTGATATTCATTGTGTTCTAGAAACCTTTAAGATCGGCCTGGGATTATTTTCCAAGTTAAAAAAAAAATTAAAGAATAAGAAATAGGGCATTTATTTTCATTTCTAAATGAAACATTAAAGGCATTTGTGTTTTGAAAACAAGTAAGAATTGATGAGCTTTTGCTTCCTGGAGTTGCACAGAAGGTTCCGGTGAAGCAAAGGCGCAGTAATGGGCTTTAGAAGGCAGGCAGGTTAACTGCCTAGATCCCAGAGCTGGGCTTTAGAGGCAATTCAGACAGTAATAAAAAAAAAAAGATTGAGAAATGATTACAATTTGGGCTTTTTATAAGTGACTCTGTTAAATTCACTAGACATTAAATTTTATTGATTCTGTAGGTATTTCACTGTCTTGGTGAGCTGAACCCATGATTCATAGTCCTCGATATTTTAGTGTGGTCTTTCTTGGGTACACTCTGTGCACTCTTTGACATGGATCACATGAAATCTGCAGAGGACCCATGGAGTTCAGAAGGCTCTTTTCCCTTGTTCTCCACATCATAAGCATAGCATGAATAAACCTGGCCCAACATACTGTCTTATCCGTTTTTTTGAAAGGAACAAAGCAACATAACTTTGATCACACAAATCAACAACAGAAACATAACTGCATTATCTGCTTGGACTCAAAGAATACCTTAGTTACATAGCTCGTTGATTCATTTAAGTGAATAAAATGTTGACCAACTGGCCAACAGGCTATTCTCTAACAGATGTGCATTGTATCTAATGTTACAAAACCACAGACATCTATTCCTAATTCTGTGGAAAAGGTACAGGGGTAGAGCATATTTTTTAGAGCTCTGATTTTATAATCATCAATAATTTATTAAGTTAGAGGGATCACTCAATTGTCAATCCTCGAAAGTGGATTCCTCTAGGTTCTCCACCTATGCTGTCTGACTCGGCACAAATTTGCAAAGATGCTAACAGAGCACAGATCCTGCCCTTCTGGGCCACAGAAAATTCGTTTTTGGACTTTATGTATTCATATAATAGTTTATGATAATATATGACAAACCAGACATAAAAATATCATTCATTGCAAAGTATACAAATGATGGCTTGAATACCTATGCAATAGATTTTAATGGTGCTTGAATTTGGCACTATGTACTTAACTTGGCTGTCTTCATCTTGAATGTCTGTCTTCTTTAGTGGCCGCCTGGCCTAACAAAAATCATCTCATTGCCCTTTGGGCCGCCATAGGAACTTTCCACTCTTATTACAAATTTCAGGTGACCGAGAGAAAGAGTGCTGAGAATGATGGTTTTTACTTATGCAGTGGGGTTTATTTTAAAGTTTAATGCAGCCATCAAAGGTTAATGAGTCCCATGCTTATACATTAGACAGCCTAAAACCTCACTCAGCATCTCTAGACTGACTCAAAGTTGAGACATAAAGTAGCAGAGAGAGGAAGAAATATGCACACGCGTACCTGAAACAGGTACATGTAGAAAAACATGGAAACGTAGATGTTCCAAGATAAAGAAACTTACAATAAACTTCGGTCATTGAAAAGTACCATTCCCCATAGAAAATTTTCTTTTCTACTTATAAAATTAGAACTTTGTTTATAAGCTCGTGAAGATAATGCTAGGAAAATGAAGAGTCAGTCTATCATTCTGATGGGAATGGTCCACACATGCACAGGCATGTGTGCACACAGCCAGCCAGCCAATGGGGTTGGTAGAGTTTTGAAGGAAGAATGACTATGTTTCTTAACACAAATGTGCAGGAGATTTTCCCCAAGACTTAGTACGTGAGCCATTCCTGCACACTCAAGGAGAGTCATTCAGTATTTCTGCACATCATTTCTGTCTGAGTTACTATTGCTGTGCTGTGAAGAGATGCCATGACCAAGGTTATAATAATATAGTTGGGGGTTTGCCTTCCTTGCTCTTTCACTCATCAGAGTGGGGAACGTAGCAGAAGGCAGGCAGGCATCGTGCTGGAGCAGTAGCTGAGAGCTTACCTGTTATCCATAAGCACAAGGCAGGGAGACAGGAAAACCCAGCCTGAAATGGATTTTGGGTACCTCAAAGCCCACCCCCACTGACTTACCTCCTCCTAATCCTTCCCAGACAGGTCAACCCTACTAATCCTTCCCAAACAGTTCCACCAACCCCCTACTAGGGACCAAACATTCAAATATATGAGCCCATAGAAGCCATCCTCATTCAAACCACCATGGCACCTCATGAATAAAGCTGAAATAACTTGTGATCTCATTTGGAATTGGAAGAGCTGAGCTTGTTCTCCCTATGGGTACAAAGAACCTCGATCCAGCTCAGTCTTGCTGACATTTTATAAAAGATGCAGTCACTTTCCCACAGCCACGTCACTTGATCTTTATAATAAGTATAAAAATCATCATTTAAGAACAGTAAATGGAGGAGTTCTATTATAACAAATAATATTAAGGCAGTGTAAAAAGAGTATTTTATTCAATAAAGAAGATTAAATCTTGAAAGAATGGTACCATTCAATTCAGAAGTTAGGTCTGGCTTTGTTTGTTTGTTTGGTTGGTTGGTATTTACACTGCCAGGGACCAAAGCCTGAGTTTCATGACTGATAGGCAAGCGCTGGATCACTGAGCTACAACCCAGCCTAGAACCTGACGCATTTCATGCTAATCTGAAACAACAAAAGGGCGATTCATTTATCTTCTCTGATTAAAAAGTGATTTAAACCTATTACAGAAAAATTGGCAAAGACACAAAACTGTAGAAACCTAAACTTTCCGTCTGTTCCCACAACACGTTGAGGTGGTCATTGGCATATTATGGATGGCCCACACTCCAAACTCCAGGAAACCTCTGAAAAATCTGGAAAACTCACTCGGACTGACAGTGAATTCAACTAACGGCAAAGTCCGACACAAACTCACACAGGTCTGGTCTGTCTTCTCGTCCTATCAAAACATCACCCTCCTCTACAGAAGAATTCATGTGTTCTTGTGCTGTTAGAAATGCTTCCGCGGACACCGGTGGGGTCTCACCACACCGCTCTTAACAGATGCAGTTCCCTGTGCTGAAGAAAAAAAAAATCTGAAAATCCAGAATTTTCAAATAAACTTGGTCACAAATTTCCAAAATGAAAAAAATATCTATTTGGGTTGATAAAATAAAAAAAATATTCACACATTTTAAAAATGCATTGCTAGCTGTTTAAAAGTTTAGCCTCTGATATATAACATTTGTGACCTCTATTTTCCAGGCCGTCCAATGGTTTTCTAGACGGAAGTTTAGTAATTGTGAAACTTTCCATATTATGGGTTTTACAGGATTTATTCAGCTAATATCCTGTAGTGGACACCTGATAAAGAAATAAAATTGCCTTACAAATTCCTTCCCAAATGTAAATAAATGTGCCAGTTTTTCAGTCATACCCATTTAATTATTATCCTGGCAATCCAAGGAAGGGGGTGGGAAAAGACCTTCACTTTGATGCTTAAGCCATATTTTTTCAGGTAAACTCACAGGTGAGTTTTTTTTTCTTATAGTGAACCAAACAGATAAACTAAGTATATTATAAAGCTTTTTTTTTTTTTTTTACTTTGCCAGTTGCTGGATGAAGCTTTAGTGCAAGCAAATGTTTGCCCACTGGTATTATACCAACCCAAAGCGTGTATTCGCATGTTTGAGTAGTACACAATTCTCAGTAATACTACTGCTGGTTGGTGGGTACAGAACACCAGAAATGTTCTGTGGATCACCAACAGATTCAATTACCTTTGTTACATATCCTGTGCCATGGCATTTTAGCTTGCCACACCTACTCTTTGAACCTGGTATTTAGAGAACGGAGAGAGTCTCAGAGCACTCTCTGCTCTCCAGAAAACCCAGGTTCGATTCTCAGCCCCAAAGCGGTGACTTGACAACTATCTGTAACTCCAATTATAATGTGCTTTTCTGGCCTCTGCAGACAACAGGCACACACGTGGTACCCAGACATATATGTAAGCAAACACCCATACAGATAATTTTTCATTTGAGTAGTTATTTATAGGTTTGCATATCAAATTTCTTGATTAGTTAAGGTCTATGATTAATTTTCAATAATAAAAATATTTGAATTGCAAAAATGATTTGTTTCCTAGAATAAACTTTATGATAGAAACTGTTTCTTCCAGGGTCTTCAAGGAATCCCTGGCCTCTCAGGAGCTCCTGGCCCAACTGGACCTCCTGTAAGTATTTGATAAGACTACTCTCCTCACAGGTCACACCTGTAGGGATGCTATAAGGTACATTAGTATTCCTGGAGCCTCTCATGCTCTCTGTAGATCAGCCATTGTTTTACAGCTTCCATCAGCACCTCCAATTTTCCTCTAAGATCAGTTAAGCCCACTTAGTGACCCGGAGACCTCCTGTCAAAAGTTTGGCCAAGCCAAAGAGCATCCTCCCACTCACTGGAAATAAACGCTGGCTACACAGGTGCATCATCTTCTTACTTTCAAATTTTGGTGCTAACCTTGGACAAGAGATTCAGATGCAACACAAGCTGAGAATTTTCCAGAGAAAAATAACAGGCTAAAGATTATCAGCTTTAATTTGTTTTATTCCTATATGTGAATATTAAAAAAAAAAAAAAGAATCTGTTTTGCTGCCCCCTTGAACACAGCAATATGGCCTCTGGGTTATCTTGTTTTCTGGAACAGAATACATTATCTTTTCCAACCTGCCAAACCAAGTCTCTTATTTGGAGTTTATTTCTAAGCAATTCTAAGGTTCAATTGCCAGGTAAAAGATTGGACACACAATCACACTTGAGTTTCAGACCAACAAATAATGTTTGTATAAGTTGGTCCCAAATAATGCATTTTCCTGACTGAATTAACTCCGCTCAGTTGATGTCTTGACTTCTCTGTTTCTTTCTCCTCTTAAAGCTTCTATGCCAGGAAATTATTTTTATCCCTCAAGAGAGTGATCATTCCTTACTGTTTTGAATCATGGGTTTGACATAATTAAAAACTTATCATTTATGCTTGCACCTCAATATGTCAAACAAACTTGCACAGTAAAACTTAAAATTATGGAAGAGACCTGAAAAAGAATCCACAAGAGTTACGGCTCATTCTAGTCTCAAAGAAGAATTAAACTTATTTTTTTGTTTTCCTTTTTAAAATGCAGATCACATAACTCAATGTGCACATTGTTGATTCTGCACAGTTTTAGAGTATTTAAAATGTTTGTTGATTGCTACCAAAATTATACCTCATTTAGAAAGACATAATGTTATGTAAATTGCCATTTAAACAGTTTGACTAAATTCTTAAGTGTATCAAAAGGTTCCAGTTAAGATCATTAAATGTGTTTGGCCAAGGTGAAAAAAAAAACCCACAGACAGAAATTTTACCCTTCCAAAGAGTTATCAGGAGAATACAGGTGCAGTATCAGCTTGAAGAAATATAAACTTGTAGAACTGGTTTAATTAAGATTAAATGACCTTCAACATGGGTAAGGTTTAGCAACCAACTTCCAACATCTTTTGATCATTGACTTGTTGGCTCTATGACAAACTCAGCTGTCCATTTCACAGGGCTTAACAGGAAGAACTGGACACCCCGGTCCCACTGGAGCCAAAGGTGACAAGGTACAGAGAAAAATGGGGCTTGGGTTATGGGTAAGGTGGAACTATTTGCTGAGAGATCCATGCAATCAAGAACAGCCTACAAGAGCAAATGGTGTCAGGAAGTGGCCACTCGTGAAGTGTGCGTGCAAAGATGTTGGTGTAAAAGTGGGTGTGAGCACAGGTGTGTTCCCAGAGGAAAGTAAGATGAGAGAGAACACTGGGGTGGGATTTCAAAAATCCAAAATAAATTGGGAGCATGGAGACTTTGGGGAAGGGGAGAGGCAGGGAGGGGAGCAGAGAAAAATGTAGAGCTCAATAAAAATCAACAACAACAAAAGAGAAAATCCAGAAACTGGAGTCCGAGTCTAGGCCATGAGTCTATGTGGAAGAGTGACTGGTCCAAGTCTCCTAAAGAGATATAGGTCAGCTGGATTGATTATCGCATATCAGAGAGTTCCAGCTGTTCCTGAGTCTTAATCTCTTGGTTTTTTATAACAAAATATTATAAATTGTTTCTAAATAGCACCTCTCGCAGCCTCAGAAGCTGGAAAGTCCCCAGTCAAAGCAATGTAGCTTTGGCAGCCGCTGGGGCCCATCTTCTTGTTCACAGAGGGCATGTACTAAGTGAGTTCTTGTGTAGTTCAACTGTAACTCAGCTCTCTTGGGCTTCTTCATAAGGGCACTGATCCCATTCATGAAAGTTCTTCCCTGTGACCTAACTGTCTCCCAAAGGGTCCATCTAATTCATCACCCTGTGGATTGGATCCATGCTGTAAGTTTGGGGGAGGAGTGCCCAAAGATTCTGAACAAGCTCTCTGGCTCCAGATGCTGTACCGGCTATAAAGACAATGATCAGTAACCTAAGGTCTTGTGATACAATCTGGAAATGCTGGCCCTAGAAGGCGATAGTGGGAAGTCACTGAAAACATGCTCCTTGGGGGAAAAGAATGTATTGGTTACTCTAGCTGCTATTTCAAAATATCAGAGACAACGTCAAAAGCAGGAAGGGTTTGTTCATAGCATTCATCACGGCAGCTAGGTCATGGTAGGAGGAGATCTGGGGGTCACCCTGCACCTGCAGGCAGAAGCAGAGGAAGGTGAATGCTGGTGCCGTACTCTTGTTCGGTTGGGACTCCATTCCGTGTGATAATGGTGCCCACATCCAGTGTGGGTCTTCCCCTGCTCTGCTAGACATTTCTGGAAATGTCCTCAGGGACACACCCAGAGGTGCGTTTCCATGGTGATTCTAAATCTCATCAGCTGGGCAGCTCACAGCTGGCCGCGCGTGCTGTGTTAGGGAGGGAAGACCAACAGCGAAGAGCACCAGGCTGTCCGGGTGTAGTAGGATCGAGGGGGGCATTACAGTGACAGTCCAGGCATAGACTCACAAATGGTGAAATAGCTAAAACTATTCAGGTTAAGGAACTAAGGGGCCACATAAGCTAGCTAAGTGTCTCCTGCACACTTGCCAGGATGCCAGCTCCCTGTAGGAGCAATGGAGCACGGTGGTGTCGAGGAGCAAAGTATCCCCCAGGACACTTAAATGAAACAACCTACTTGTTCTGAAGAGCCACAGCACATTCTTATCCTGCTAATATCTCAAGAATCTTTCTCTGCTCCACCAGCCATTTTTTTTCCTCTCTATTTTCTATGAAAATTCTTCTGTCCTAGATTAGCCTTTGAAGTTAATGGGAATTCCACAGTGAAGTGAGCTTGAGGGCACCAATGAGAATCTGACTTCTAATTGTGCCAGGAAGAAAGAAAAGACATATTCTCAATGGGCACATGCTGTTGACTCATGCGCACTATGACGTAATGCTCAAAGGACATTGCCGGCAGTCAGCAGGACGGAGGATGTCCTGGGGAGACAGTGGCCATCGATACAGTGTGCTTACTCAGTGCACACATTCTCAGGTGGTGCATTGCATGAGAAACATCACAGCTTCTTTAAATTGATAAATATATGATTGGTGATGTTTTGTTATGAGAAAAAGATGACTGGTGAAATAAAATCGTCTGCCAAATTCTGGAAGAGGACTAACATCCCTCAGATTTCCTGGACTTCGTGTGTCAGTCCCTCTGGGTACTCTGTCGATTAACCATGTGTTAGCTCTGTCCCGGATAAACACAACATAGAAAAGTTTGTAAAGGTACCGTTCTACAAACAATGCACAGTTATAGGAACAACTGACCAAAAGCCCAAGGGGCTCCAACAATTGCTGGCTGTGAGCTGGTAAGGAGTCTGTGCTTTGTAAGAGTCGTTTTCCAAGTCTCAGTTCAAATCACAGACTAGTTACTGGGTTTTTTTGTTGGTGGTGGTGGGTTTTTTTTTTGTTTTTTGTTTTTTGTTTTTTGTTTTTTGAGACAGGGTTTCTCTGTGGCTTTGGAGCCTGTCCTGGAACTAGCTCTGTAGACCAGGCTGGTCTCGAACTCACAGAGATCCGCCTGCCTCTGCCTCCCGAGTGCTGGGATAGTTACTGTTTTATAGTAACCGATTATTGCAGTGCCCCTTCATTTTCAATTTGTGTCTCCTATAAGCAGAAACCTAAGGCTATTTAAATGGTATCAACAAACAAAATTAACAGGCCATTTCTCTTAAGTGGTGCCATACCAAAGTCACTTCCACTCGGTAAGACATGACTCACCTGGTTGTAGAGTTTGATATTAGCCAACAGGTATGACACGGGTGTGATTTGATACTTTGGCTAAATTTGCTAGAATGCTCTCTCTGGCTCCACAAAGCTGAAGTTGGTGGAGGTGAAGCCAAGAGTGAAGGCTGGTGAAGGCACAGTCTCAGAGCCTGCAATCTGTGCACGAACTCTCCCCTTCTTCCCCATGTATACAGAGGAGGAGAGAATCCCCCACTGCACTCAAAGCCCAGAGCAGGTCTCCTAGCTTGTCTACCCTCAGTGAAGCTAAGGGCCCTTCCCTAGAGTTCACACAGGTTGGAGAGAGGAAATGTCTTTTACTGGCCACAAGGTAAGTAGAATTAGACTGCCAGGCAGAGGCAATATTATAGGCCATGGTGACCTGGATCACAACTCTCGAGTGGAAATGTCCAAGCTGTTCATTTGGTCCTGTGTCTCTCCTGCAGGGCAGTGAGGGGCCCCCTGGAAAACCTGGACCTCCTGGACCCCCTGTGAGTTGTTTAAGATTTACACTTTAATTCTGTGCACTTAAGACTCATAAGGCAGATGGCTTAGATGCTTGAAAAGCTATGTCTTCTGAGTTTCCCCTGAGTGTGTGTGGTGTGTGTGTGTGTGTGTGTGTGTGTGTGTGTGTGTGTGTGTGTAGTCAAAATGCATGGCTGTACACTGGCCCGCCTCTAGACTTCCTACAAAGGACAGAGAGTCATTTGACTACCCTCTACCATCTCAGAAAATAAAAGGCCTTTAAAAGGACGTCCTTTCTTTACCAAGCAATTTGGACTTTCAAAGATGCTGTGTGTGTTCACCGGTGAGTGATGTCTGAGACGTGAGGAAATTCTCCTTCTACGCCATGCAGTGAGAAAAATGCATGAGAGCCCTGGACATTTGCCCCCATGGTCTCCACAGACTTGCATTCTTCCAGGGAAGCTGTGGCGAGGAGAGGCCACTCTGTGGCAAGTCTGCCCTCGTGTGGGGCCTTGGTCGAATTGCAGCAAGCCTGAGGTCCACAGCCATTATTTCTCCACATTGCAAATTTAGGAGAGAGAGGTAGTGTCTCGCGGCAGCCTTCTGAAACCTAACGCGGCTGTTAGGAGCCTGCGTACAGTTGCACGCTTTGCATACAAGCTAGCTGCTTGACTCTCTTTTTTTTTTTTGAACATGTTCTTCATCTGATTCTTTCTTCACAAAGGAGCAAGACAGAAAATTCCTGGTGTTCTGTTCTAAAATACGCTCCTCTTCTCAATGGAAAAAAAAGAAAATTATATCAAGAGACCTGTTTTTTTTTTATATCAGGCTTAATAAATCTTCCTCTTGTCTCTGGATTCTTCAAAAATAATTCATTTCTGAGACAGATTGTACATCTTCTCTGGGAAACTTTCTTAGAAGTCTCCTAAGTCTTTTACGTCTTCTCCGGGCATAGCATACTAAAATATAGCCCCTGCTCAGTTATTCCCCAATGAACGAGAGCAGAAGAAGAAGCAGGCAGAGCTTTCTCTCCCCTCCCTGCTGTTTTGCAGATGCGTGAGAACCGTGCTCGCTGGGCACACCACCATTATCCCCAAGCGGCGATGAAATGATGGCTTCTTCGTTTTTGTTTCTGAGATATTAAAAAAAAATACCAAAAAAATGAAAACACACACTTGGATATTTAATCTAAGACTTTGATGTCCTTTCTAAAACACACACTTGGATATTTAATCTAAGACTTTGATGTCCTTTCTAGGTGCTTCCAAACCGAATGTTTCATGTGCATTTTCCCCATGCTAACATGGATGGAAATTTTCAAACCGTACTATGGGTTCTCTCTCATTTTTTTTTTCTCCGTATTCACATAGGGTTTTTTGAGGGGAAGGAGCAAGCGCTCATTCCCCAAGTATTAGGGATGTTTTTTGTAGAAGTGCCCACACGGGATTGTGAGTGAAGCTGTCCTCCAGTTCACCTCAGTTTTTCTGTTTGGTTTGAAGATTCCGTAGGAAAGCCTCACTTTGCAGTACCAAATTGTTCCCTGTTCACATCTTCATCAGTCTTACTACACGGCTGCCTGCAGGTCAGCAGGCTGTAAACACGGCAAATTGGCAACTCAGAAACTGCATTTTAATGAGCAAATAATATCTTCCCTCTGAATACATTAGTGCCCCGTCTGCAGACTTGAACGCTACTCAAACCCCAACGGGAAACATCCAGGTGCTCCAGGCGTGGCACGGGCTCCTTTTTTCCGCTTTCCCGCTTTGAGACATTGAGACAGGATGATAGCTTGTTTATTATATTAAATCCACTTTAAGTATAGAATAGAAAAACTTAAGTAAAAGTTAATATCAGAAGAATGCCATTTGGTAAAATGACTGGGGCTCAAACGCTCACTTCCGCCTCTTCTTTCTTCCCTCAGGGTGTTCCGCTCAATGAAGGAAACGGCATGAGCAGTTTGTACAAAATCCAGGTATCGCCATGTCTAGTTACCTGCGCTCATTTTCCCCTTGCCGGGTTCTGTATTTCCTTCTCAAATGTTTTCTCTTCCTTTGAAGGGAGGAATGAATGTTCCCAGTTACCCAGGACCCCCGGGCCCCCCTGTAAGTACAGATGAATATCTTGAAGTTGCTTTAGCTAGACCACAGTAATGATTGGGGGGTGGGGGTGGGAATCTCTCAAGCTCACTGAAAACTGAATGTCACAAATGTAACCAAATTTTGCAGACAGAGTAAATAATAAGTGAAATCAATTCAAATAAAAGAAAATTTTCACCAAACCTTTCTAATGGAAAATATTTAGCATAGTATCACTTTTTCATTGCCAAGCTAAGTTCTGAGTCAACGTCCAATTATGTTTATAGAAATAGCAACATATTGCTTCTTTAGAGTTTTTTATTGTGAGTGGTGTGTATGTAAGTATATGCATGGGATATACATGCAATGCCTGTAGAGGTCAGAAGAGGGTGCTAGATTCCTAGGAGCTAGAGCCACCCATCACGGGTGCTGAGCCCTGAAATTAGGTACTCTGGAAGAGAATTACGCACTCTTAACCACTGAGCTGCAATTCCTCTAGACCCCAAGTTACATTTCTTAATTTTATTCTTTAAATCCAAACTTCAGCAAAATATGTACCATCCTTACACTTGTTAATGGGCATTTGAAGAAAAAAAAAATGCCTCAGATTCTGTAACTGTGTTTTCATAACAATTAGAACATCTTTGTATGCTTTTCTTCTAGGGCCCAAAAGGTGATCCCGGCCCAGTGGTATGTATACGCTTACCTCTGTGCGGTAGTCTTGGTTAACACTGCAAAGGGTACCAAGCAAAGGCGGCCTGCCGTCTTAGCTGTGTCTCAGTTAAGGTGTCAGAGACAAGCAAGCAGGTGGACATATGCCAGCTAACGCATCCTTTGTTTTCAGGATGCATTAGTGCAGATGCTGTCCCTGCCCTTGAGGTGTGGCTCTTTCCATCAGCAGGTTTTAAAAATTGTCCTCTGATGTAGGAAGGCACATATAAGGCTCTTGACAAATGGAACGCTTCCCTCTAATGGCCTTCTTTTGGTGATTGATTCAGTTTTAAGTAGCTCGCGGAAGAGAAATACTTAAGGGAGAGAAATTCCTTAATATGTCTGACATCTCGCCAGCAAGAAAAGGGGAAAGGACTGTTTATTTACTTTGCATGTCTCGGGCAATTATTCTGCAGGGAGTGCAGACTATCATAAACCTGCTTATTGAGTGGAATATATCCGGAGGTTAACACTCAGCCAAGAAGGAGATCGTGTCCTCAAGCTGCCCAAAGGGTGATAATTGTTCGCAGCATCTCTCTCAGCCGTGGAGCCTCAAGACAAAACTTCTGCCAAATTCAATTAGATTCCCTTTAACCTTTGGCATTTCTTTCCCTGCCATGTCCTTTTCAAGCAAATATTCCATCCTTCATGTTCCATTTGCATAGCCTTTTAGCTTTTGAGGAGAGAATTGAAACTTAAATGTACCTACCACTGAAATAGGCTTTCAAAACACTTTCTGTTGCTCTGAAACAAAAAAAGTATTTTTTTTATTATAATTGAAGTTGGTAAAACTGTCTGAATAAATGTTAAACCATAAAAGAGAGAAACCATAGAAAATAGCTTTTAATATATAAGTATAAATATATTTTCAAAGAGAGATTTATCAAAGAAGTTATCTTTGCTACTGAATATTATTTTTATTTGATGTCTATTTGATTTACCCTAAAATAATTACTTCAAGTCCTAAGTACTATATTCTGAATCCCAAATGTGTTATGTAGACTTTTTTCCGTGATTGGTTATTCTTTCTTTCTTTGTATCTTTGAAAATACTATTCCATGTGTTCATCTAGAAACATGGTGTTCAATTTTATTTCTATTTTTTCATCGTATTGAAAAAAAATTCCCCTAGTCTTACTTTCTTAAAATCTTGTAGAACAGCACCCCTCTGAGTTATACAGATAAATTCAGACTTCTCACTGACATTTCTGGAACATTCTTTCACATTCTCACGTTAATAATTGTAGGTTAAGGTGAGAACATTTTAAAAACATATTATCCTGGAGAATAAATTACAATTTATTAGAGCTGGAAAGTAGCTGGTCAAAAACTAAGACCTTTTGAGTAAAATTTAAAGAAATTAGGCCCCGTGTTTCTTAGCTTCAGCAAGGCAAAGAATAAAAAGTAATTGAAGGTTAGTCTCTGTGTTTAGAATATGAACTGGAAATATGGAGTCATGGAATTAAACAATGTGTGAACATTCCTACAACATGAACACACCCCTTGCTATTATCATCATCTCCCACCCACGGTGTGCTGGGTATAGAGAAATAGCGCCCCACAGTACAGGAATAAACCAGGAATGGAAGGACTGTACCTTCCAGAGCGCATGTCTGAAACCCCAACATTGGTGGGTGGAGGAAATTCACTCCCTGGGTATCCTTCACGTTCCTGACATGTTCAGTCAGCTGAGTGCCACTCTGACAAAATACTGGAGATAAACAACTTAGAAGGGGGAAATACTAGTTTTGATGGACAGTTTCAAAGATTTCTGTCCATTGTCAGCTGCTCTGTTGGGCCTGTGGGGAGTCAGAAGACCAGGGAACACTTAGTGGGGCTAAGCTGCTAGCCTCGTGGTGGCAGGAAACGAAACACAGTCTTCGTTTACAACCACGCTCCATCCCTAAGCCTGTTAAGCTATAAATCTCTAGTGGGTTAACTGATGAGGTCAGAGTCCCCATGAGCCCTGCATCTGTATGCAAGGGCATGCAGACCAGCCCTTAAACTCATGCACTTTGGAAAAATAGTTAAGATTCAAGATGTAACACATGGCAATAATATTCTTCTGAATAAACCTTGTAACACCAGGTTTTGGTGGTACACCCTCGCGCACCACTGTACCAAATGCTAGTTGGGCAAGGCCTGGAGGTTAAACAGAACACACAAAGAGATCGGGGTCATTCGATAGAAGATCAAGCGAATGCCATTTATTCAGACTTGGGAAGGTCCTTTTCTACCTTACTGCAGCACTAGGACCCCCGCCCAGGTAGGTGGGAAATTACCATACCAACAATGGAATGAATGCCCTGCAGCTAATCACCAGGCGGGGCAAGGGAAATACAGAAACTTAGGAGGGGCAGGGGAAATACAGGAACTAAGAGAAAGCTAGTTGTCTGACTAGAAACTGTATGCGCCCTAGGAATAAGGGCTGAATGCTTAGTCATGTTGACCAGAAATTGTCCTCAAGATGTGCCCCAGGAATAAGGGCAGACCAGGGCCCTACAAAACCTCTGTAGAGAAAAAGGTTACCTTCAGCTGGATATACTAATAAATGAATGGTTTCCTGATGCAGAACACTTCTTTTTTAGTTATTCAATATCAAAGTGATTTCAATTAAATAGTTAATTATTATCTGCTCCCAAACAAATGCTGATTAATTAATTGATTACTTCTTCTGTTGTAAGGAAAGACTGCCGGAAGTGTAAACAAAGAGATGGCATGATACCAGGATATATTCCACGCATCTATAACTCAGGGCCTCCTCAGCACAGACTTTCACAGACTAGAGTCTGAGCACCTTTTTACTTTTTATTCTTGTGACTGACAGGTTATTTATTAGTGAACACTAGAAAAAATGTTTTGAAACATAAAATGTACCAAGTTGTACACACATTTATTAGGTTATGTAATACAGGGATAAACAATAATGGTTGTTACAGCTTTAGAAATATTTTCTAAGCAGAACTGTATTTCATGCAAAAATGCATCTACAGAGAATACAGTTTAAAGCTCGCTTTTCTAGTGTGTTTGTTTGTTTGTTTGTTTGTTTGTTTGTTTGTTTGGAGACAAGGTCTCACTTGTAGACCAGGCTAGCCTGGAACTCACAGTGATGTGACCTCTGCCTCTTGGGTGCTGGGATTAAAGGCATGTACCACCACACCAGCCAGGGTTGTGAGCCTTAAAGCAGTCAGTGTCCTAAGAAAATATTTTTAGCTAAAAGTAATTAATTCACAGGAAATTATCAAATGACTCCATTTTACTTATTTCTCTGTGTTTCTAGAGATTTGTTTATGTTTCTGTGCTTGGTTTGCCTGATACGTACATGCATCACATGTATGTTGTACCCACAAGAGGCCAGAAGAGGGCATCATGTCCCCCAGAACTGGAGTTACAGATGGTTGTGAGCCACCTTGTGGATGCTGGGAACTGAACCCCCATCTTCTGCAGAAGCAACCAACTGTCGAGCCTTACTCTGGACCCACGCTTCATCTTTCTTGGTCAAAATGGTTTTTTTATTCAAATCATAAGTGTTTTTCAACAGATTTTTCCAAATGCTACTTAAAGACCGACAGACTGGGACCGTGCAATAGAACATACAAAGTGTTGGTCTATCCCCTTTCAGCTTGAGCAATGCCTTAAATTATTGACGGTGCCACTCGTGGGGTTATCTTCCTAAGCGTTTGCAATCCATGCTAAGGATGCTACCGTCTACTTTGAGAGTTCCACTTCCGCTCACTCTTAAACAGTCCAATCTTATTAGATCGTAAGCTAGCAGCCCCAGGTGTCTCACAAATTGGCAAACTTTATTAAAATCTGCTTCCCATTCTAATCCTTACTGAAATTGGAGTTATTAATATACTACAGGGATTCATCCTGATTAGATTCTTCATCAGAATAAAAATAATTAATCAGAAAACAGACTCACGCCTGGAAGAGAGCTGTAATTCCCGAGCTACGTTCATATAGCTAAGGCCTGAAAATAGAGGATGCCGTTCACTAGCCTGGTTGGGAATCAGAGTTGATGGATGTGAGCAATAAAAAGACCTCGACTTTAAATCATTGCTTATAAACCTTTGGTCATTGCTCCTGCATGCTTCGTTTTCCCATTTACAGGGAGAGCCTGGTGCGATGGGCTTGCCAGGACTGGAAGGATTTCCTGGTGTAAAGGTAAGCACAGAGGCAGTGTTGGTTCAGTATTAAAATATGTATACTCACCTGCTATTATGCCAATAACTGCTTTATGTTTATTAAGTTTAGGAAAACGAAACAAGTCAAGCTTTTATACTTACGGGGATTGTGTTCCAGGGAGGGATACAGAAACTAACGGGGAAGGCAGGATAAAAAACAAAGTTATCAGAAAATGCTACAGAAAGAGATTGAAAGTAGAACAGGTTAATGGGTATCACATGTGCTTGGTGGGGGTGGAGGGTCCCCCAACGTCAATCATATGACATCCCAGAAAGCAAGAGCTGAGCAGTGACTTAAGGAGGGTGACTTAGCCACGTCCACATAAGTCTGAAGAAAGAACAATTCATGAAGCAGAAACCACAGATGTGAGGACCCGGAGACACAAGCCACCAGCTCCAGCGATAATGGGAAGGTCAATGCGTGAACGCAGAAGTATTAGATAGGAGGTCTGAGAAGTGGAGGTAGGGTAGAAAGGTGACCCCAGGATATCAAACAGTGCTGCTCACTGTGGCCACTGGAGGAACGGTGCTGGCTGTGCTCTTAGCTACACGGGATGGAAGAGACCAAGGTAGGCTCCGGCATTATCTGAGATTCTGGCTCGCTCTCTGTCACTGTGATAAAATAGTCTCAGCAAGTGCAGCTTGGAGGAACGAAAGGGTTTCCTTGGCTACACTTCCACATCACACTCCATCATCAGATGGTCAGGGCAGGAACTTGAGCAGGAACCTAGAGACAGAAATCGAAGAAATTATGGAGGAATTGTTAAGATCCTTCTAGAGGAGAAAAGACCAAATCCACAAGTGTCTAATTAAAGCCAGCTGTATTTTGGGGGCTGACCAAGTCAGCTGTCTCCCCTAAGTCAGGATTTGAGAAAACAGCCCCTGCTGACCTCTTGAAGTCCCTTTGATAGGAGAGATAAGGTGTTCCCAGAGGTGAGGGAGCTGGCTGTTATACATTGTTAAAAGGATACAATGATAAGGAAGGATCAAGGGTAAGAATGGACAACATGTAAGTGTTGCAAGCAGTTTAAATCAGATCTAAGGAACAGGAGCTTGTTCCCGATTACAAATAAAATCCTTAACTTGCAAGAACTTAATACACGACAAACAGGAATTTATTCTTGAACTACAAACAAAAACCTTAACCTATACAGGACAGAGACTTTTTAATTACAAGGACAAAGAGGAAAACTGCAAATAGAACTCTTAACCTACAAGGTATAGCTTTCCTGTTTGGGTCTCCCACTAACTTACAAGGTATATTATTCCTGTTTAGTCACCTTAAGTTTATAAATTATGGCATGGTCTTAAGCTCCATACCTCTTTATTTCATCAAGTCTTCTTTTAGATCCCTAAGCAAAATTGTGAGGTTTTTTTTTTTTTTTTAGCTATGGGTTCTGCTCAATAAAATTGCCATTTTGCTCTCCACATGACATCCCCAGCACGGACAGCAGTGTCTACCACATCTGAAACACACTGCCTCTTGAAGGCACCCGAGTCATTCTGGTTATCAGAGCAATTGCATGGATCTTCTGACTGGTCATTGGAGGAGAACTACAGATCTTTAGTTCTCAGTCTTTCTTATTCTAACCCTGCATCCGACGGGAGTAGGGGAAGAAGAGACTCTCAGGAGATATTCAGTGTGATTAATCTTTCAGGTCATGCTAGTAATTTTTATTATGTGTAGAATTTTAAATATTGACTAACTTTAGCTGTTAGAATGCATGGCTTCCTTTTGAAATAAGCCAAAGGTATAGCATAAATAATGGTTTTCATTAGAACTATGAATTACTTTGTTCTTTAGAGGATGAAAATATAATAGGTTGAATTGTGTATACATTTTTTTTCTGCTTTTCTAGTTTTCTTCATACAAGTTAATAACAATAGCACTTATTATATTCAACAAAAACTTTACAAATCCAATTTCTTTTAATTGTATACATAAGTATTGTATTTACAACATTTCTACCCCTTCCTCTCTGCCTCCAACTCCTTTGCCCCCCCCCCAATTCATGGCCTTCTCTTCATTATTACTCACATATATAAACAATTTGTTATAAATGCAGTCTGTTTAGGCCATTTAGTAGTGTGTGTGTGTGTGTGTGTGTGTGTGTGTGTGTGTGTGTGTGTTTAGGGCTGCCCACTTCTAGTTGGATAATCAATCAGGAAGCTCATCCTTGAAGAAGACTGAAAATATCTCTCTCTCTCTCTCTCTCTCTCTCTCCCCTCCCTCCCTCCCTCCCTTCCTCCCTCTGCACTTTTCATCTAGGGGTAGCACCTTGTGAGATTTTCTCCATCCACAATAGCATGTCAAATTACTATTTGAGCAATGATTATAAAAGTAAAGAGTATATAGCTATCGTTATAAGTAGCCATTTCTATTTTAACCTCAACAGGGAGATCGAGGCCCAGCAGGTCCCCCAGGACTAGCCGGCATGTCGGTGAGTTTGGCTTGTGTCATGTTAGCTTTTCAGGTATGCATTTCTATCTGTCTATAGCTAGTGATGAAGGGTTTTTGAGTATATGGTGGCTGATTTCAACAGTTGTCCAGAGCCTGTCTTGCTGCTCTTGATTCTAGCATGTCTGTTCTTCATTTTGACCGTTCCCCTCCTTTTTGCCTTTTGTTCCTTCCCAAGTCTCTTTCATGGAAAGAGAGGAAATCATTTTACACATGGCTGTGCATTAGTGTGTGTGTGCACAGCTTTGAAAACTCACTTTTTATACCTCTATCCCTGTCATATTTCAGCAGTTCTCTATCTCCCTGAGGCCACATTCTCATCTTGGGACATGTGCATCGGGCTCCCACATTAAACTGTAGTCTGCCTGGGTGCTCACTTCACCCAGGGTTGTTAGCAGAGCTTTATTGCTGCTAATGTTTTCTCATAAACCAGGCTTCAGTCCTCTCAGTCATTTTTTGTGGCTCTCTGGTGTCAAATGCTTTAATCTCATCAAGGTCTTTGCAAATGAATAGGAAGTGCTCCCAGAAAGGTTGAAATCATTTCAGCAAGCCCTTGGGACAATTCTGATCTTCATTCGTGATGCCCTCATTAAAATTTTGTGGTCACGGTTTACGAGTAAGAGGCCATTTATCCTCTTGGCAGGTGACCCCGCAGGGAAAGTCCAGCATCATATTACAAGAAAGTCCATGGAAACCGTGTGCTTGATTATTAGCAGGAGCATCGTGAAGATGAGAAGGGGCCCGACTGTCAGCCCCACGCCACCGCTGCTTCACTAACACCACTGAGCATCACTGTATACAACCTAAGACCCCCAACCACCATACATTGCCATCTACTGCTAGCCTAAAAAGGTCCATGGACCTCTCACTATTACATTTAACTAGCTCAAATAAATAACAAAACGCTACCCATCATGTAGAAGCCTTACAGAGAACGGCATTCTTAATTAGATTTGTTCATACTGAGATTAAAAATGTGTACAATTGTCAAGAAAAAAAATGAAAAATACTTTCTCTAGAATTTATATACAATGAAGATTGTTTATGAAAAAGGACTTCACACTTAGTCTTAGACCCTCCACACACATCTGACTCTCCTCCTCGTTAGCGTTGAGGGCTCTCTTTCTGGAACCATACTTAGAATGCCATCTCAATCTGTTCCCTTACACTCACGTTCTCATACTCACAAAGAAACTCATCTTCCCATTACATCCATCTACATGTGACTTTAACATACTTTCTACTATGACCATAAATTGTCTGTGTTTAGAGAAATATTCCTAGATACCTGTTGCCAGAGGCCATTCCCAGCAGGCCAAACCTGAACAAAACACACTGAAACTATATTAATTGCAATGCTGTTTAGCCAATAGCTTAAGCATATTTCTAGATATCTCTTACTTCTTAAATTAATCCATTTGTATTATTTTATATTTACAATGAGGCTTGTGGTTTACCAGCAAGGTTCCGGCATGTCTGTCTCCTGTGGTGGTTACATGGCATCTAACTGACTCTGCCTTCCTTCTCCCAGCATTCAATTTAGTTTTGCAGCCTAGCTCTACTCTGCCCTATTTCTAGCCAAAGCAGTTTCTTTATTTATTAACCAAAAAAAAAAACACATATAAAGAAGGACTTCCCACACCATCTCCCCTTTTCTGTCTAAATAAAAAGAAGGTTTTAACTTTAACATAGTAAAATTACATACAACAGACCCAATCCCACCACCTGCCCAGGCAGCAGTGTGTGTTGTGTTGAGTCATGGGCATGGTCTCTACCACTTTCCTCCTAATCCCCGAGTGGCCATACAAGCACCCAGGCCCACAAACACCATTCAAGTGCTCCTTAATTGGACCTCCTGCATGAGCAGCCCAGACTCAAACACACAGAAACTATATTAATTGCAATACTGTTTGGCCAATAGCTTAAACATATTTCTATATAGCTCTTAAATCTTAAATTAACCTATTTCTATTATTTATATTTTACCATGAGGCTCATGGTTTACTGGCAAGGTTCGAGTGTGTCTGTCTCCTGTGGCATCTCACTGACTTTGCCTTCTTTTTTCCAGCATTCAATTTAGTTTTCCCACCTAGTTCTATCCTGACCTATCACAGGCCAAACAAGCTTCTTTATTCATTAATCAATAAAAGCAATACATATACAAAAGGACTTCCCATATCCGATACCAGCAAAGTAATTAAAGTATGTGTATTAGTTTCAAAAGATAGTTTAAATGAGAAATTCCAGAAATATTTTTGAAGGCTGTAGTTTGATTGATATATCAGACATATATTTGAATACCTCACAGCTGATAAATTTGCTTTAAAAGCAACATTCACAACACGTAGAAGCACTTGGCAACTTCCGAATTAGGGAAGGGTAAAAACTGTCATGACTACACATGTGCAATTGTGCAATTCAAAATAAGTATTTTTTAACTGGTCCTTGGAAAACAGAACACTTGGGAGGGTGTACTAGAAGTGGTAATGGCTACAAGACTTTACAAATGCACTCAATGCCACTGTACCATACACTTTCAAGTGAGTACATGTCAAATTTTGTAACAGATGACAGAGACAGAGATGTATTCTGCACTGTCTAAAACTCTTGAGGTGATTCTTGCAGTTAAAACAGAGCTAAAGTCAGTCAGTTGGGCCTGCCATGACTATTCAGTGGAGGCCCACCGGACCCAATCCTGCCCTTCCTAGAACACAACAGTCTGCCTTTTTCCTCTGTTTCCAGGGTAACCCAGGGCTTTCTCTAGAATGTCTGTCTTTCTCCCTTCTCTGAAGGGATTCACCTCCCAAAATTCTAAAACAGGTTGAAAATGAAACCCTTCCCTTTTAAAGTCTCAGCTACTCCCTTCTATCCCCACAATATCCTTCCCAGCCCTGGGTAGGCTGGGAGCTCAGGAGACAACAAGGTAAACCCGATCTGATGCTCTGAGCTTCACTTTCTGTCTCAGCCAAACCCCTGTGTTATTAAAGTTCTCCATCTGGCAATACTTAATGGAGCAACTTAAGGCTCAAAGTCCATAGACAAAGCCTGTCAGGGCAGGGAAGACATGGCTGCTGGGGTAAGCTGGGCAGATACAGAAAGAACATGAAATGTTTTTTTCTACCTGTCGGTAGACCAAACAGTAGAGAGCTCCAGCCGGAACCAGAAGTGAATATGAGCCTCAAAGTCTGCCTCTGAGCAGCCAGCTTGTTTCTGCTAGTAAAACCACAGTCCTGAAGTTTTATAACTTCCCCAAACCTCAGCAGCTGAGGACCTCGTGTTCACATACATGAGCCTGTAGGGCACATGTGAAATTCAAACTGTGGAGGCATCATGTCCCTACCTCTTCCCGTGGTCTGTCTGCTCCAGGGTTTCCTGCTTCTTGTTCTTTGGGCCATAGCACATTGAAGGGGGGGGGGTATTTTCCTCAACCTTTTACCCAAATACAGCTTTTCAAATAAAATGTTTTTGTTTTCATATTATTTTACCAACAAAGAGCTCCCTTGTGAAACTCAGAACTTGACGTAAATTCCTCTCATCTCTGCCTTTTTTGCTTTCTATCGGTGTGATTTTTTAAAAATTACCGAAAGCAATTTAGGAAGTTTATTTGGCTAATGTGTCCTGAACACAACCCACCCATCAGCGAAATCAGGGCAGGAACTCAAACAGGGCAGGAACCAGGAGGAAGGAACTGAAACAGAGACCATGTAAGGCTACTACATACTGGCGTGCACTTTATGGCTTGCTCAACTTGCTCTCTCGTACAACCCCGGACCATCAGCCCAGCTGTAGCACTGCCCACAGTGAGCTGGCCCTCCCACATCAACCATTAATCAAGAAAATGTCCCACAGACTTGTCCAAAGGCCAGTCTGATGGGGAAATTTCTCAGTTACGGTTTCCTCTTCCTAAATGACCCGAGTTTGCATCAACTTGACAAACAACAACAACAACAAAAACCAACCAGTACACCTTCCCCAAACTCCCACCTCCATCCCCTACCATAGAGCAGCAGTTCTCAATCTATGGGTCGTGACCCCTATGGGTCAATTTGTAACACTGAAAATACATTCTTATTTTCATATCAGATATTTACATTACAATTTATAACAGTAACAAAATTACAGTTATGAAGCAGCAAATAATAATAATAATAATAATAATAATAATAATAATAATAATGTGCTTGATGGTCACCACAACATGAGGAACTGTATTAAAGGGCGTAGCATTAGGAATGTTGAGAACCACTGGCCTAGAGTAGGAAAGAACTGCCAGGAAAAAAAAGACTTAAGGAGATCCAACAACAAGGGTACATGTTCAATAATATCCTCCCTCTCCCGCTCAGGACTCTGTAGTGTGTGCCTTACAGCCTCTGGGGTCTACTGGGCCCTGGAACATGTACTAGTCCAAATAGACAGTACCCTACACTCTTGTGGAGGCAGAAATACATGGTATCCATAAGATGGCTCCTAACATTTTTGTTTGGTTTTCTTACAGGGGAAACCCGGTGCCCCAGGCCCTCCAGGAGTCCCAGGGGAGCCGGTGAGCTACCAGCAATTTAGCAGCAGACCCACTGCTGTAGTATCTAGGTGCTATTTTAAAGACATTTTTACCAATGAACTGTTTTCTTGGCTCACACTTCTAGGGTGAGAGAGGGCCTGTTGGGGATACAGGTTTTCCTGGACCAGAGGGACCCTCGGGGAGGCCAGTAAGTACTTAGGACACAGATACTGCTATCCTAAGAGATGTTCTATGTATTGTCTCTTCACTTTCCTCCTCAGAAACCAAAGACCTCAGCAAGCAGCTTCAGAATGAAGTGCAGACAGGTTTTAAATATTGAATTTGGGGTACTGGCAGGGGAATTCCTCCAGGAGTTTCCTAGATCTCTATGTGGTATCTTTATCGTTTAAACAATGGTGGGGAAAGATGTGATTTTTGTAAGTGCCACTAAAGTGGAATCCTGGTTAACATCTTAGGTCTAGTAACTTCAGTAGGGTTCAAATTAAACGTCCTGTCACATCCTAAGATAGGACGAAGCCAACAGCTTGCTGGCATAGCGCCTGCGTGATAAACTAAGAAAGAAAACCTACTGTGGGCCTTTTCCTGACAATGTCATTAATAACCATTACTGCAGGTGTGTCGTGCCCAGAGCCCTAAAAAAGCTTGTGTATTGATATGACATTGTGACAGTCACGCCCACCCAGCGGTTATACATATAACCCCTACGGTGAGCCGAGAGTGTCCTGAGGCCAGAGAGAAGCATGGGAACCTCTGGGTTTCATTTTAAAGATTTTTCATCTTTTAATATGTATTTTATTTTATGTGTATGCATGACCGCATGTATATGTGTGTACCATATGGGTACCTGGTACATGTGGAAGCTAGAAGAGGGCATCAGATCCCCCAGAACTATAGTTAGAGAGGCTTGTGAACCATCAGATAGGTGCTAAGAACCAAACTCAGTCCTTTGGGAGAGCAGCAAGCGCTCTGAACCTCCGAGTCATCTATCCAGCCTATCAAAGTTTCTATACAGAAGGTCTTGGTCATTCGCTCTGTCACGTATGGAAGGGAGGTACTGAAAATGAGTACCCTGAATCACAGGGACTTTGTTCGCTATTTCTCTGACATTCAGAGTTGATGAATTCTCTGGCCTTCCTCTCCTCAGAGGTGGCAATGCAGGAAACAAAAGGCATGTGCTGTTCAGAGTCAGGCGTTCTGGGCTCGATCGATGACCCAGGGTGTTCCATGAGTCAATCAGGTGGCATGCGGTGTGAAGAGACCTGCAGTGCTGGCTATAGGAAGTACCGAGTGAACACTATAAAGTTCTGAGCTTCCCGTCACCTCCCCTTGACAAATTTTCCCCCCTAACTTTTGTGAGTCAGCCCACAAAAGGCTTGCGGTTGAGTTCCCCCGTATATAATACAATTGGCAATTGTTTTTCATTGAACGAACACTTTTGAGCAGCTGTTCCATGCTAGCAATGGTTGGTGCTGAAAACCGCTGCAGGAGGCACTCGGTCCTGTCTGAGGGAGCTCCCACTGGGGCGCTGCCACCCTATTCCTAGGAGTATAGCAGGGGTGCTGTTTGGATTTAGTCTGTTATCAAAAGAAAAGAACATAAAGTTGGGAAGGGGTCGTATTGAGAGGGACTCAAGGAGAGTTGGTGGGAAAATGGGGATAGATGTGATCATGTTTCTGTGTATATGTGTATGGATGTTTTTTAAAAAGAGAAGCATGTACATTTAAAGGTTCAAACCTGAGTTCCAGTTTTACATTGGATTTCTCTTTTATTCAGGCGTCACGGTTGTTTCTCATGTTCTCTTTAATCAGCTTTACCTCTGTTGCTAGTGTTCTGGCGGGTAAAAAAAGAAAAAGTCTTTGAACTATTCGCTTCAGGTAACATATCCTGAGTTAAAGCGCTCTCCAGAATTCCCAGGGTGCTTCAGTGAAGTCCTGAGCCTATGGTTGGGTTACCAACCGCAACAGATGCCAGCGTGGTTTGCAGCCCTGAAACAGGTGGCTGTCTGCAGCTGTGTCCTTGGGGAGTCTGTGCCGGTGAATCAGAGTCTCTCAGGCTTTCGCAGTGCGTGTCTATGCCATGCCCGCTGGCTAGGAAATGCCGCTCCCTCACCTTCATCTCTCTCTCTTCAAATCACATCTCAAAGCCGCGTCTGCAGTTGGTGTCTGAGTATTTGATTTGACCCCAAGCCCTTTACCTCCCTCTGTATCTGACAGGCCATTCTGTCAGTTTTACAAATCTCCACACAGGGCTGGCTTTATGACCACTTCCAGAATACCTTTTAGAGGTGCCAGAAGTTCCCATTTTCTAATAAAAAAAAAAAACTGTTACTGCCTAATAGTCTCAAAAACTACGATTACAGATTCCCAGCTCTCATTTACTATTCTTTCAAACCGAAAAATAATCATTTTTCTTCAGTTGATGGTTTATTTTATAGTAGGAACACATTCTGGCCATGTTATGAAATTCCCTCAGAACCAAGTGGCAGCGTTTGCTGAGAGGGAACCTGGGATTAAACTGCTAGGTTGTGGAGACACGAATCCCAGGAAGATGTCAGTGAGTGTCTCCCCAGACAGATAGGGAATCAACAGCAGAGCAAAGAAAGGACACCTGTGAAGCACAGCTTGGTGAACTAGTGAGTGTAACTGGCGTGACTTACAGGAGTGTAGGTGAGGAGTTCCTGGCAGGAGCACAAATGATGCCCGGAAAGCTGCATCACCGCGGGTAATGCTCACAAAAGCTGGAGCCCTGGCGCTCACTGCACAACCTACAGGCAGCTCACCAGGATGGAGAGTGTGTTCTCCAGATTCTTCCACTGTTTCTGGGCAGGTCAGTGGATCTAAGGGCGTCTCTCAGTGCATTCTCCAAATTCTTCCACTGTTTCCAGGCAGTTCAGCCAATCTAAGGGCATCTCTCAGAAGTCCTTACTGCTCATCTAACCTTGGAAAGGAAGAGCTTAGTGAATATGGTCAGTTTCAGGAACTTTCTAAAGCTTTCAGGTTGTTTATCCTGAATTTTAAGTACCTTCCCTGAAGAATGGAGTGTTCCGTCTTTCTTTAAACTATCCTGAGTCTTCCCTCCAAGATGGAAGGTTTATCCCAGAGAAAAATCTTGCACAACAGAGGTATAAAATATCTCCACAGCTCATCCATTCAATGCTTTGAGGCCCCGTGACTCTTCATAAAAGGTTGAGGAAGCCGTTTTGGGTGACGCCATGATTCCATGTTGCTGTGCTTCCTTCTTGCTTGTAAACTCATTCTTACATTCTTCACTGTGTATGTGAAGATGCCCGTGTTAAATCAAATGGACTAAATTCCCGAGCCTGGTCAATGGCCCCAGTAAATGGCAATCAGAATTTGAACTTGGGACCACAAGGCTGTACAGATTCTCTATTCAATTTTGCCATGCAGACCAAGATATGAAGTCATATGTAACATATTTTTGTGTGTTTAACTATGACTGTACATAGACATGAAACAGACAAGTTTTTTTTTTAATCTTTTCAGGGCATAAATGGAAAAGATGGATTACCAGGTGCTCAGGTATGGGAAAAAATATTAAATAGTATGAATTCTTAAAATTTCTACTTTTAAAGTATATGTACCTCAGAACCAGTTTTGGGTCAGTTAGGCTGATGGAAAATCTTGGTAAGCAATGATTTTTAGTGTTGACATCTGTTTTCCAGGGCATCATGGGTAAACCTGGAGACAGAGGCCCCAAAGGAGAGCGCGTATGTATATCACTACTGTGGTTGATGCTCCCGCCTGTCTGATACAACTCTTCCATCTCTTTAGCCACACAACGAAGCCTGTAGACAACTTTGGTTCTCCCGACATGAAATGGTTACGATGTACACGAAACAATGTATCCACTAGGAATAGGATGCCACACTTGAGGAAGCCATGTGAAGAGTGTGCCTGCTAGTTGGTCTTTGTGCACACGAGTCTGCCTTTCTATTCCAGTTTGAAAGGGTTTTACCACCCTCCTGTCTGAGACACATAGGCCAACTACAACCACCCCCCAAATTCTTTTGGCCAGCTGAGGGATTTCTCACCCACAGTGGTATTGACACGTGGAGGCAGGTAAGTTTTGGTGCTGTTTGGCTGCCTAGCATATTGCAGAACAATGCTGGCATTGCTGGCCCTGTCCTGATGCAGCCGCACTGTCATGCCTCCGCTGTCAGTACCCAGGCATCACGAAATGCCTTCCAGGGAGCAAGACCGCCCAGGCTGAGAAACACTGGTCCACGGGAACGCTAAGTGGAGTAGGGAAACTGAGGATGTAGAGGAACAGGAAGGGAACGGAATGTGAAGTTCCGCACGCAGGTGTGGGGTGTACTTTTGTTAGAACTCTGGAGGCTGCCGGTGCTGTTACTGGAACGTACCAGCATTTTCTGTAATGAATCATAATCTCCTAGTAGGACTTGTGTCCCCGGTGTCAGTTACACAAGCCTTGTTACTTTGTAGAGTCCTTTTTAGGGCTGCTCCTATGTTTGTGACTATATATGTGTTTGTGTACTGGTGTCTAATTTATTGGCATTTTTTAAAATGTTACACAAGTAATTCGTGATGATGGAAGGAAGTATGAAAAACAAGATAACATAAATCTAAGAAGGAAAAATCTTCCATGCATCCTTACACAGGGATAAACATTAGATATTTTGAATGTATTTTAATGTTTCACTCTTATGTTTAATGTACACATATAATCAATGTAAAGTATGTATTCTTTCGAAATCAGATTGGCAGTGTTTTGTAAACATTTTTTCTACTAGCAATATGCAATGACTATATACGGCTTCCCCGGTCCTCTTTTTCCAAACAGCTATTTTCTCTCCAGTTTTCTTAATAATAAACACTACAAACATTTTTTTTAGAAAAAAATTTTAAAAAAGAGTTATGTGAGTATAGAGGAGTTCTCAGCCTCCACCCTGTGGCCTGAGCATGTGGATTAAACCCTCACATCGAGTCTGGTGATGGAAGCCATGCGCCCTTTTGAGGCCTGAAGTGACAATGGGTGACAGGTGTCAACTCAGTTATCCCATCAGGACCCATACATAAAAATTTAAATGTTTTGCAAGGTGGTGATGGTGCATACCTTTAATTTCAGCACATGGAAAGCAGAAGCAGGAGGATCTCTGTGAGTTTGAGGCCACTCTGGTCTACAGAGCTAGTTCCAGGACAGCTAGTTATACAAAGAAACTCTGTCTTGAAAAACCAAAAAAAAATAAAAAAATAAAAAAATAAAGGTTCACATGATCATAAAATACAGATCATAGATCCAAGTATGTTAATATTTTTTAATCTTGGAAGTTTCTGCAGACATGAGCTGAGAAGTCTACGTATTGATACATTTTATAAGACAATGCCATTGATAATACGGGCATGTGTTTTCTGTCTACATGACTTCTTGATCTCCTTTAGTACCTTATGATCACATTAATACCTGTGATTGTTCACTTATTTTCATGATTTTTTTTTAAATCAAGAGAAATACAGGTGAGTCTTTTGCAGAGCATTGCGGACCCAGGAATAGTGCGGGAAGTGTGGGGAGGCCTCTAGCACCTGTCTGGCACACTCAGCTCACACTCACTTCCCAGAGTCGTGCACATGAACTGAAGGCGTGGAACTGAAGCACTTGCTGTGGGCTCACACTTCCCTTGGGCACTTCCCTTGACTTTGCTATTAGTCACAGCATTACTAGAAAGGGTAACTCCTTATTTTCTCCCCAAACAGGGTGATCAGGGAATTCCAGGAGACAGAGGCCCACAAGGTGAACGTGGCAAACCAGGCCTTATGGGCATGAAAGGGGCTATAGGTCCTGTGGGGCCCCCAGGAAGCAAGGGCTCAATAGGATCACCTGGCCACCAGGGCCCTCCAGGCTCTCCAGGCATCCCCGGCATGCCGGTAAGTGGAGCCCCTGGCTCAGACTGACCATGGGACTTTCTATAATGAACGAAATGCCAATCATCTGTAAACATATGAAACAAGCTGGTCTGGACCGTTATTTAAAGTTATGTGCTGATCCTATTTTATACAATGTATATTATCATGTTTGCCCCTTCCCTGATCCTCCCCACCTCCCTACCCACCCAACTCACCCAATTTATCTCTTTCTCTCAAAACAAATAAGAAACAAAAGCCAAAAGAAAAATCAAGAAACAAAAAAAAATCCCACAAAAACAAAAATCAAGACAAATAGGCAAAAATCCAGTAAGACAAAAAAAAAAAATGCCCAAACAAAGCAAAACAAAATAAGCAATCCACACAAATGCCGTTGAGTTTGTTTCGCATTGGATAACAGGACATGTGACCCACCCTGGAGTGTAGTTGCCCGGTGACACTCCACTGGAGAAAGCTGACATTTCTCTTTTCTAGCAGGTATTAGATGCAGATGGCTTCTTGGTTAGGGGTGAGACCTGTGCCCACCTTGCCTTCTCAGTCCTTTCATTCAAGTTCATTTTCCCATGCACATTGAAGACAAGGTAGCCGTTCTGAGCAATAGAAATCAGCACATTGTGGGGACATCGCATTGTCTTCCTCCTTCTTGCATTCTACATGAATGGACTGCTGGGCACGGACAAGATCACAGTCTTATCATCATCTATACATGCTCGATATGCCAACTTGACGAAGGAATCAGGGGAGAATGGTGGAGGACTCGCCAAGACAGGGACTTAGACAGATTAAGGGCATCAGCCTAATTTGTAGGAATAGGCAGGACCATGTCTGAAAATCACCTCCCATGGAGATTTCCCACAGATCTTTCATGTCCCTCATCTGGTCACAGCCCACTGGGCTTTGTTAGGCCTTCCTCAAAGTGTGTGACTGGCCATGGGAGGGAGCCCCTACCTCACAGCTTCTCACGTGTGCTACATTGTCTTCATTGCCATACATGAAGCCCCAGAGAATAACTGTGCATCCAAAGAATAGCACCGAGATACCTTCAAATCCTGGCAGTCTTGAAAAGTGAGAGATCCCTTCTGAAAATGTCAGAGTATGCCAATAAAACATGGCTATTATCAATGTGGTTTCTTGTCAAAGGCCTAAGCATTCAGTTGACAACACTTACCTACTTGTAGTTACTCTGGTATCTCAGGTGCTCTCTATTGAAAATTTGCTTATGGGCAGGAGAAATGACTCAGGCATTAAAGGCTATGTTCACGACCAAAAATTAAAATTTAGCAAATATATTTATATTAATATGTAGGTTATAGTAGCATGAGACAGGCAAGAGATGAGAAAAACACTTTATAGGATAAGCCTGCAACAACATGATGTCAATGATTGTTATAGATTTTTCTAGTATCCAGGAGTGGGGTATGTGTTCCATTGTGATTGATTATGAACAACATGCATTGTTTGAGGTTATAAAATGAAGCAACAGAAATGTACGTTCTAATTATCTCTAGTCACATTTCTCCATTCTTAGGCAAAGTATTAGCATCACTGATTATAATCCCAGTTACTTGTAAAGCAACTATGAACTTCAGTTTATCCTAGCATTTGACCAAACAGTGTTCATTGTCCAAAACACTGCCTGAAGATTTTGCCTGGCAGATGTTCATCGGCAAAGGACTCCCAAACCCAACATCTCCGTTTCTCACCCACTTGTGTTCTGCTCTCTTTTAATAGTCGTTCTTTTTCCTCCTTTAGGCTGATGCTGTTTCGTTTGAAGAAATCAAAAAGTACATTAATCAAGAGGTCCTAAGGATTTTTGAAGGTTAGAATCGCTTTGTAATAGTTCCGAGTGTTTAACGAGTCTCCACTTCCCATCCCCGTGTGGGGAATCCCTTTAGTGACATTCATGAAAGATGACTCCGTAACAGCAACCTTAGCAGATCCATCTCATGGAGAGGCAGCTCCTTAGGACAGAAATGTCGCCTTATGCTGTCAGGTGCTCTCTTTAAACTTCCCTTCCTCGCCACTTGTCTATAAACAGCACAGCTGAAGGACCTTCTATTGGTGCTGTTGGTTTAACTGTCTTTCAAATATCTCAGTACCCATCCCACTCCATCTTGATTTTCCTCCTCTATGGAGTACGCCCAGCTCCCCCATCCCTGCCACCCTGGGGAGGTGTTTAATTTACCTATGAAGGTTTTAACCAGGGTGGGTTACAATGTTCTTTTATCTATACCAGGGTCAGCAAACTAAAGACTCCCAGCCACTTCCTTCTGCTACAGATGGACTTGTATACGGCCCACAAGCTAAGGACAGTTCTATATATTTGTTAGAGGATTTCTCATCCTCATTTTTAAAAAAGATCAAAATGACACACTTAAAATGACCTAAATTCAGATCTGGCTTCTAATAAAGTGGTTTGGGGTACAGTCATGCTCACTTCTTTTCGTATTCCTCCAGTGTTTTCAGACTACAGGTGAATAGTTGAATAGATGTGACGGATTTCATGTAGCTAGCAAAAAATTACATATTCACTTTCTGGCTCCTTCAGAGTAAGTTTGCCTGCCCCAGATCTAGATATTTAAGCCCAAGAGAGCATTGTTTATAAAACAAAACAAAGCAGTGTCTCAAGTAGCCTATGCTGGCCTTGAATTCCCTATGTAGCCTGAGGATGGCCTAGAACTCCTGAAGATCCTGCCTCTACCTTACAAGTGCTGAGATTATAGCGTTTGACCATCCTACCAGGGTTATTATTGCTTTTCTTGCACTTAAACCTAGGGCTTGATGTACGCTAGGGGGCACTTACCAGCTGAGCCACATCCCAGCCCATCAATGATTTCTCTAACAGTTAAGACTTGCTGGTCATTCATTTTGAGTCATCAGTTAAGAGCATGGTTCTTCCTTCTGAAAACTTTTTAAAAGAGTTTTTAATTGTGTGTTAAAGACCTTAAACAGGTGAAGTTATGTTTGATATTATTAAACATCAAGTAGCTTTAGTGGTAGAACACTTGCTCAACCTGTCTAAGGCCCTGGGTTTGACTTACAATACCAAAAAAATAAAATTAAATAAACAAAACAAAACCAAATAAAATTCAAGTGATTTATGTTCTGACATTGGTCCAACCTGAAAATATGGTTTAGAATATTCATGGAAGGTCAGGTGGCTGACAGAGCTTTGGGTCATCTCTAAAGGTATAACCATGTTATCATTCTAATTGTGGATGGAAATGTTGAATTGAAAAGTCAAGAGCTGCGAGCTGACAGGATGGCTCAGTGAGTAAGGGTGCTTGCTGCCAAGACTGACAACCTGAGTTCCACCTCTGGGACCCACATGGTGGGAGGAGGAAATGACTCCGGATAGTTGTCCTCTGACCTCTTCGCACACACCTTGGCACACCTGCCATGCATATACACACACTATAACAATAACAATAAATAATAAGTTAGTAGTAATAGCAGTAATAAAATGTGAATGTTTAAAATTTTAAGTTGAATCAAGGCTTAGGCCTTTCCAAATGTCATCGGATTCCTTCTGCACACCTATAAGTTATCTATTAATCTATTGTTTATTGAAATCTGACTCTATGTATTTTCTAAAATCTCTTCTAGAGCTCTCACCCTTGTGTCCCCTAGCTTCACCCCATCTCTCCCAACGCCTTTCACTCAGGGTCCCGGTGAATGGCAGGATACTCTAACCTTGAGAGAGCTTGTTTACCACCAAAGCCACAGATAACCTTTTCCTCAAGATGGTTTATTAAAAAGAGCCAAAGGAAGTTTTTTGCTTGGAATCTCTAGCCTCCAGCTCCATGTGTGCTATCCCCTCTCCTGCTCACTCCCCAGACAGCAGCCTGGCAAATCTATCTTCTCCCACACAAAGTGCGCCTGAACCTACAGTGTGGTTATTTAACACTTAAGTTCATTTGCCCTCAAACCATTTCCATTCAGTCCATTTGCACTTCTTCCATGGCTTCTGAACACCATTTTTCCAAGAAGAAAAAAGGTATAACTCCACTTTCACAAATCATAGCATTGTCAGGTCGGTTTCCCTTTCCACAAAGCCTTCTCTAAAGGCAGAGATTAATTGTCACATTTTAAAACAGTTTCAGTGAACTAGCGCAGTACCGTAAGTGCTAGGGTTCAGACATGTTCATCTGCAGACTGTTTTTTTAGCATTTTCACTAGAGGAGATGTCAGTGGGAGCTTCTGCAGTGCTTCCACACCCCTGCCTGGCCATAGCCTCAGCAAGGGTCCCCCGTCTCCAGCAGGAGTCCAAGGTGGTCCTCAGGAGGTCCTGCTGCATGCTTTATTCCAGGTGGCTCCTCGTGTAAAACCCTACACCAGGACCCAAGTTTCAAGCTCTCCTCCAGGGATTTATCAATCTCCTTTGAACTTCATAGGTGACCCTCACAAGCTTCTCACCTTGGGCTGTCCTACAGGCCACTACCGTGTCTTTCAGCATGCTAAATGCTAATTCCCAACCCCAAGTAATGGAGGGAGGTGATTCTCCATGACCTCAAACCTGGGTTCCAGCTGGATAGTAATACACAAGCATGCATTCATTCTAAAGTTAGTTTAAATTCCCACTTTGATTGGCCAATATGTCAAAGCATTTCTGCGGGTAGGGTGATCAGATCACACAAGGCAGAGACAGATGTCATCCACATGACTCAGCTTAGCATCTTTTGTCCTTAGGAGGACTTAGCAGCTCCCAGAGATGCTATCTACATAAATCAGAGGCTTGACATATCAGAGAAGCATAGATTTTGCTATGGCCTACCCTATAATTGAGCATTTGCATCTATATGGAAAATTATGAAATAGTGTATACAAACTAACAGACTCCACTCTTTAAACCCTCAAAGTCCGACCTGCCAATGAGGAAGAACAGGAAGGTTAGGTTTATTTCTGCGTTTGGTTTCCAATGTTCAGAAAACCCATGTTTTCTCCATTTTCACACATATTTCACACACGTGTATTTGAATGAGTATAACATATTATCCCATTCTACTCTTTCAAGGTAACATCTCTTTCCTCTCTATAAGTAAGATATTTATAAGTGTGTATATATTTGTGCATAGACACAGCATCCAATAGATACTCATCTATAATTAGGATATTTGTGTGTGTGTGTGTGTGAATATACACATCATCCAATAGACACACATCATGGGAGATACAGTAAGTATTTTCCACAACATATTCTGTTAATTCCACTTACAACTTCTGTTTACCAGGGACTCAACCAGAATCAGTCATGCGGCTTACAGGATTCCCTCTATCTCTATTGAGCTGTGGTTGTCTGTTCACACAGAGAAATGGGTTCTGAAATACATAATTGATGGTTGTAAGTGAATGTAGAACTTGCCAACCATGGTTTTCACATCGGGTAGCCAGCTGGGCATTCTAAATGAAGGTCTTTCGATTTCAGTGTCTTTAAGTCTCTCCATGGATGCATTTCTGTTTTCTACCTTGACTGCCAGCTCAGCAGTATTTTAGGGGTTCATTTATTCTTTTTTTTTTTTTCAGTATTAAAGCCAGAGTATTGCTGAAGTCTGGAGTTGTCAATAAAGAGACAGTCTATCCCCCTTTATTTATTCATTTTGCATTTTAATGGGAATCCAGTTACCTCACTTTCTCCATCCTTCTCCTCCCCCAGACCATCCCCTTTTTAGAAAGGGACCCTTTAGTTGCTAGGGCTAGGGTAGACTGTTTAGATTCTTAGAGAAACATTTCTACCACTTTATACTTAAGCTTTTGATCTATTTACTTTATTTCAACTCCTTTCCTTTGCTTCCTACTTCCAGAGATAACTTACATCCCCCCATTTTGAGTCTCTAGAATTTGCATTTTAAATTTGGTTTCTGTTCTCAGTGGAAAGTCTCTGTTTTCTTGCTTTCTACCAAGACAAATATCCCTCCGGCAATCTGACCCTCAGCTTCAAAAACCGTGTAGCTACTTTTTCCTTTTAGAGTCTCCTCATTCTTGAGCTTCCTGATTTTAAAAGTGTCTTGGTTGTTTTTCCAGCATCCCCAGGAGACTTAAGTCAGATGCGAGTGTTCAGTTCACTGTATTTACCCATGACAACATTTCAAAGTAACATACTTTACAAAGACTGTGAACAAATACAGCATTGTGAACTATATAAAATAAATGAGTCCAAAATATACAATAGCAATTAAAATGAAACTGGGAAATAATTCAGATATTACAAGAAAATATTGCTGTATTGCCCCATAGGAGAAAAATACATGTAATTTTATTTTCAAAAATTATAAGACATGGGGGAAAGCCATGGAAAATGCCCCCAAAAGTGATTTCTTTTTTTAAATATTGATTTATTTAGTATACAATATTCTATCTGTGTGTATATCTGTAGGCCAGAAGAGGGCACCAGACCTCATTACAGATGGTTGTGAGCCTCCATGTGGCTGCTGGGAATTGAACTCAGGACCTTTGGAAGAGCAGGCAATGAATGCTCTTAACCACTGAGCCATCTCTCCAGCCCCAGAAGTGATTTCTAGAACAGTTTAGTAATCCTGTGAATGACAATTCTTTATCCTTAAGCTTAAAAGATAACAATATTATCAAGTGTTGAGGACTTCCCTTGATCTATCATGTAACTAGTGCTTCCGTAATGGAGCAGCAAAAGAAAATAAGGTTATACTAAGAACGTGGGCAACTCAACATGTGAATGAGTTAGGAGAAAAGATTCAATTGTCTTCTGAAAAAAATAAGTTATAATTTCTACTTGTGAAACAAGAGGCAGATGAGGACTGGGTGACACCTGAGTGTCCCTTACTGCTTCAATCCCTGTTAATGTCTGCCTTGTCATAGGAACTTCATTCTCCAAGGAAGCCAAGTGCTCAGCCTAGCCTACCAGTCGTTTCTCTTGTGACTGCTCCCTCTTGTTCTGTCCAGGCAGGTGGAATATGAATGGTTTATATACACCTCTTCCAAAGTCTTTAATTTTCTGCCTCATTAGAAAGCAGAATCAAAAAAAAAAAAAAAAACCAGTTTAAATGACTAAGGAGCCCTGAAAACAGAGGGAAGGCAATTAAGAATACAGGCCTCCGCAATTCATTTAGGTGCTAAGAAACTATTAGTTTCAATTATAGAGCATTAGGGTAGGGTTCAGAAGAGCTAATTAGCTTATGCTAGATGACTGTTTCTTAGTGTAGCTTAAAGCCAGTTCATTTACAGCTAGGAGTAATTGTTTAAAATAATTGGGTTTTGCTAAAGTTATTAAAAATCCTCCCAAAACAAAGTACTTGTAAATTTACCTCTTAGCTTAAAGAGAAGAAAATTAGGGTGGCAAATAACTGTTTAGGCATTAAAGGTACTAAGCATGTTTCATAACATTTATTGGTGTGTGTGTGTGTGTGTGTTCACATGCACACCTATGTGTTGGCACATGTGCCACAGCGTGTGTTCATGTGTGGAGGCCAGAGGAAAAGCTGTCGGAGTCTGTGCTCTCCTCCTCCCGTGTGGATCCCAGGGATTGGGCTCAGGTCGTCAGGGTTAGTGCCAAGCGTCTTTACCAGCTGAGCTATCTCAGTTGCAAGTTAGTTTTACCAGTGAAATCATTTGAATTACTAAGACAGTTTTTTTTTTGAAGAAATTATGTGGTGAGGAGACACATTAAACACCCAGCTTCTTCTTATCATGGCAAGACTATACCCTCTTCTAGTTTTGTATTTTAAAAATTAATCACCCATATATTAGATTTTTACAATGGAAATATATACATAATATAAGCAAAGCAAGTTTAAGGAGTCCCGCGGCAGCCTTTATAGACAAGTGAAATCATGATTTTCTCAAAATGAATTCCAGACTAAAACACTGAGTATGCTCTTGAGATAAAATTTAACTAAGCAACGCTCTGTCTGAAATTAATAACAAACAATTTAATAGTGACAAGAAATGTCTTGCATGAGCTGACAGATTACTAATCTGCTGTCTCAGACTGAGCTGAAGATGCTCAGCTGTTTTGGAATAGTTTGAGACATCAGATTAGAAACATCCTTTATAATATATGAGCTTCATAAAGACATGGTAATAGTTCTTACTTAAATGATCAGCTTAAATGAGTAAATTCCGTAATTCCAAAACAAAGTCCACAATCCCTAATGAAAAGCTCTGCTACAGAGAATGTTGAGCCAGGTGTGTTGGAGTAGCAGCTGGAACCCCAGGTGTTCAAGGGTAGCCTGGACTGCATGAGACCCTTAATCAAATATGTTTTTACTTAAAAAATAAAATGGAGAGGGAACCGGAGAGATGGCTCAGATGTTAAAAGCACTGACTGTTTTTCCAGAGGTTCTAAATTCAATTCCCAGCAACTAACTACATGGTGGCTCACAACCATCTATAATGAGATCTGGTGCCCTCTTCTGTCATGCAGGCAGAACACTGTGACCATAATTAATAAATAAATAAGTCTTTAAAAAAAATAAAATAAAGAATGCTTAGTTAACTTAGTTAATAATATACCGTGTTCAGAAGCTGATTTTAAATGGAAAATTCTTATTCATATTTTCATACTTATAGTCTTTGAACTTCTTTTTTATGGTTCTTTCAAGTTTCATTAGCACACCAGTTTTCTTGGTTCTACTTGTGGGGGGGTGTCATATGTCTGTGTGCAGGGCAGGAAGCGATTGGCTGGGATATGTCCCATGTGACCAAGTGCCTGTACACAGGCCACAGAGGATGTCAAATGTCCTCCTTTACCACCCTCCATCTTACTACCTGGGGCATGGTCTTTCACACGCATTCTCTGGTAGGCAGATTGCTAGATGTCCAAGTGATCTCCTGTCTCTGACCTCTGAGCACTTGGGTTACAGATGCACACAAGCCTTCGCAGCTTTTACAGGAGGGCCAAGGGTCTGAACTGGAGTCCACAAGCTTGTGCGGCAATCACTGTTACCCACAGAGTCATCTCCCTAACCCCATCCAACATGTTAACTTTCAGTTTTGTAGACTCACTTTCATCTCAAATGTCCCACGACAATAATAACTGTCTAAGACTTAGCAGTTACACCCCTCTGCACCTACTGTAAAGGGGCTTTCGTGAGCTGATGGTGAGTCCCCGAGAGGGTGTGTTTTGTTAATATTCTCTGTCATCACTGGACACTTTCTCCGAGACCAGCATACACAGTGTTGTGCTCAAGGCAGTCTGTTAAATGAATAAGTGGCAATGCCTTTGATGTGCCCTTTGGGAAAGCATCTTGTGTTAGAAAGGACTTAATTCACAAAGATGTATCCCTCAGTGCCTAACAAAAACAACTTCATGCAATTGATTCTTTGTTTTATAAAAACACAGCAGTCAGACCAGTTGGTATATAATATGTGCTTAAATCAGTAACTGAATTATTTTCAACTTCTTAGAAAAGTATTTGGAAATCATTTGACATAAAGACAATTCCATTTTGTGACATATCTTTTTCTTTCATGAATGCAGAGAGGATGGCTGTGTTTCTGTCCCAACTTAAGCTGCCAGCAGCAATGCTGTCCGCTCAAGCTCATGGGAGGCCTGGCCCACCGGGGAAGGATGGGTTACCTGGACCCCCGGGAGACCCAGGACCCCAAGGTAAGGTGCAAGTATAATATTGTATTTGCCAGGTTTTTAATCCTCAATATTTAAAACATGATAATTGCAATTAAAACAGATGCGTGATATGTATGTAATGACACGTTGTGAACTATTTTGTTAATATTTTATTTTCTAGTCATAAATATTATTACTACTGCAAATTTAAAACTGATATGCCTGTTACCACTCTAAGTTCACCTTCATGATATCCAGTGTAACAATAACATCAATGCTCTCTGTTGCTCTATTGTTATGTAGGATCCTAGAGTTGTTTCTGTCTTTTTCTCATTGCCAGGCAAGGCTTCTCTTCAGAAAGTCTTAAAGAAACTGAAGAAAGAGTCAGGAGATTCTGCTACAGTAGTCATCTGGGGCTAACACCTAACGGGGGGAGGGGGCATTTAGAGTGATTGTGTAGTAGAGTTGTGTAGATGGTAACTTTTAAAGTATAGACATAACCTTCTTTTAACTTATATTCATTTCTGAGAATTTCATAAATGTATACAGGGAAATATAATGATTTATATTCCCCATTCCCCTTCCAAGTTTCCCATATGTGCACAGGTGTAGAGCCATCCCCTAGGACATGCAAGACTTACCGGTGGTCACATCATCCATTAGGGATGAGTCCTCTCTGCACTTGGGAGGCAGAGACAGGCAAATCTATGTGGGTTAAGGCCAGCCTGGTCTACAGAGCAAGTTCTGGGACATGTTCCAAAGCTACACAGAGAAAGCCTATCTCAAGAAACAAAACAAAACAAACAAAAAAAGAATGAGTCCCCCTTCCCCAGCCACTGTCAATAGTTCCCTAGTAAGGGGCAGGGCCTGGGGGTCTTCTACTCCATCAATGCCAGAACTTTTAGATAGCTTAATCTTGGGTAGATCTTGGGCAGGTAATGATAACTTAGGAACTTTAAAGTGCTGTGCGCCACATCAGAGGCAAAAAAAAGCAAAGAAAAACGATCCATTCTGCAGCCCCACGGTACAGGACAATCAGATCCGCAGCCCCATGATACAGAACAACCAAAAGTTATATGGAGTCAAATCAAAGAAGGAACTCAGTTTATTACTGTGAGCATCAGCTTATATAGGTTAAGTGACATCATGTGATGTGGGGGTACCTCCAGCCAATGAGAGATAGCCAAGCCCTCCTTCTGGCTGGAGGGACGTCTACCTAGATATTGCTGTCTCATCCTCAGTAGCTTTGAGACTATCCCTCAAACTCAAATAAGGCTTTTCTTTGTCCTACAGGCCTCGAGGTACAGGCCCTGAGATAATTTTGGCCCAACAAATATCCATCTTCCATTTATCATAGGACAGGAGGTTTGACTCAGAGTTGAAGAAAAGGGAAGTGTGTAGACTCATAGGTAGTCTTCTGTGTGTGTACACTTATCTTTTACAATTTTATTTTTTCTTTTCTTTTTTCACTCATTTTACATTCAACCACACTTCCCCCTCCTTCCCCTCCTCCCATCTCTCCCAACCCCCTACCCCCATCCACTCTTCAGAGAGGCTAAGGCCTCCTCCCATGGGGAGTCAACTAAGCTTGGCATATCAAGTTATGGCAGGACCAAGTCCCTCCCCATTTGCACTTATATAGGGTGGTTATTATCTTTCATTCGTTGAGTCTCTTCTGAAGTCAGAATGAGTGAGAACTGGAAAGACCTCTAAATGTCATCTGAACATATGCTACTCAAACCACATAAAGAATAAGCCAGGTTAATACCAGTAGAAAAATTCAGATGAATCCTTCAAACCTTTCTAGTCCAAGAGAATACACAAGATGGAAAATAGGGTGACCTGGTAAAACAGAGTTCCAACTGGAGTTACCTTTCCCACACATGCTCATCGCTCCAGGCACCTTCCCAGGTGATCTGGAAGGTTCTGTCACAGGCAACTCTATGTCAAAAATGTCAGGGGGGGTTGAAAACAAGACTCATATTCGCTACACAGCCAACTAATCAAAAGAAGAGGAGTCACCTTCTTTTGTGGCTTTAGCCCATGGCTGTGTGTACATCACAGACTACGACTTCTAATAGAGATCTGAGTGCAATTCTTGAGTTTGAAGGAATTCCCCCACATGATTTCCAGTTTTCTTTAAGGCAAGATCTACTAAAATGGACACAAATTCTGTCCCACCAGAGTTTCTGACAACAAACACACTTAGAAGTTGTTGCCTCAGCTTGTTTCCCCGTGGGGCTTCTGACAGTGAATATCACTGTTTATTGACACTTCGACTCTTTGTAATGTTAAATTTGCCAGAAATACAGCAGAAAAATAAAGTTTGAAGAGAGAGAGAGAGAGAGAGAGAGAGAGAGAGAGAGAGAGAGAGAGAGGTTGGTTTGGTGTTCTTTTAAAAGAACTTTGCATGTAGAGTTAGCAGAAGATAACAAGGTGGAAGATGGGGGAGGAAGAGGCAAAGGATCTAGTCTACCTATCCACTGCCATCCATCTTAAGAGGACAATACATTGCTCTTCTCTTTGAACTTTTAAACTTTAGGTAACATCAGCTTCTAAGTCAAGGCAAACCCTTACTTTTAATGCAGTGGCCCATAGAATGGTTGACAGTCCTAGAATAGTTCTGACTGAATAAAACGATTAGCAATGGTGTCCTTTGGAAACAAGAGGACAAGAATGCCAAAATGGCTGAAGGGTTCAGCAGTCGGTTAGTGAACCAGAACCAGGGAAGCTGAGCACTCTGTGTGTGTGTGTATGTGTGTGTGTGTGTGTGTGCCTGTCTGTCTGTCTGTCTGTCTATCTGTCTGTCTGTCCATATGAAAGCAACACCCTCAGAATCCAGGCTATTTTCTGAGCTCATGCTGTGTACACTTCCATTAATGAAATCTTCTATTTCATATTTATCATATAGTAAACATAAATACCAAGTTGGGTACAATAAAACATGGAGGATCTTACAGATACACAGCTAATATATAAAGTACCAACAAACCAAGCTTTTAATAATGAGAATTCTGGTACTATAGATAATCCTTAAATATGTTGTTCATATCTCCTCTTATATGTTTATGATAGGTGTGTGAGCTCTCTTCATCAGAAATTCTGATGGAGTCTACATACAGGAAACAGGAAAAAATATACAGAAATAAATTCTATTTCATATGAGAACAAGACAGCATAAGAATAGAGACTCTGTGAAATGAAATAATCAATTAATTAAATGAAATAAAAGGAACAAACAACTCACAATTTCAAGATTGGCAAAATAGAAATTTGAGTCAAATCCGTTAAGATAACAACACAAATATGCTTTACTGTAACAGTTCATAAATGTAAAGGACCAGAAATTTTATCTGCCACAATGTGAAAGATTGAGAAGTCTCCAAAGTACTTACAATGCATTTTTAAAGATTTATTATTATTATTATTTTGTTTTGGGTTTTTTGATTTTGTTTTTTGAGACAGAGTTTCTCTGTGCAAAGGCCCTGTCTTGGAATTAGCTTTGAAGATTAGGCTGGCCTTGAACTCACAAAGATTCACCTGCCTCTGCCTCCCAAGTGCTGAGATTAAAGGCGTAGGCCACCACTGCAGGGCCTATTTTTATTATTTTTTAAAAGTAAGCCTCACTATCAAAAGCTTGGTTTGTTTTAACTTTACATAGTATCTGCATAGTTATCAGATCCTCTGTGCTATACTGTACTCATTCATATCTCATGTATGATCATGTGAAATGAATATTAATGTATAATGAGTGAAGAAACAACAAGCCTCAGAACACAGGACTTCCATGAGCATGCCAGTGTTGAATACTCATGTTTTCTTATCTCTCTTTGTGTTTATCTCTCGCGCAGGCTACAGAGGACAGAAGGGGGAAAGAGGAGAACCTGGGATTGGGCTGCCAGGGAGTCCAGGCCTTCCCGGATCTTCAGGTAATAGACACATTATCTTCATGCATGCAGGCCTCTAAAAGATGAGCCTCTCCCCCCCGCCCCGTGGGCCTTACCTGTTCAGCTGAATGGCCCATGGCAGCGGGGGAGAGAGGGAGACAGGCAGGATCGCATGTGAGCTGCATTCTCACGGTGTACTTTATTTCATCGGCAGCAGGTTTGCCAGGTTCACCAGGGGCCCCAGGGCCTCAAGGACCCCCAGGCCCCAGTGGAAGGTGTAATCCAGAAGACTGCCTCTATCCTATGACTCCTGCCCAGCAGAAGGCAGGTGGGAAATGAACGCTACAGAGGAAGACTCGTTCCTGGTGAGATGGCCGTGCCATTAGAGCTATTGATCCGTGCTTTACAGCCACGTGCTGTCAAGGCCTATGATTTCTGGATCGTTTTTCTTTGCCTTTTTTTTTTCTTTTTTTTTTTTTTTTGCCTCTGATGTGGCGCAAACATCCGAAGCCACCATCTGAATCCTATCCTGACAGTAATTGGAAATCAGTATTTTCAGATGTTTCCCAACGTCGTTCTGTGTGTTTTTGCTTTACCGTGGCCATGAGTTCTACTCAGTTTCGTATGAAAATGCAAGCGAGCCTGTCATGGGTTCTTCAGAAGAAATCCCATGAGGTGATATAGGTCACAGACGACATACGCTTTGTGAACTCATCAACATGGTTAGACTTTGATTTCTGAACTTGAATTTTTGAAATTTATATTGATATTTTCTTCATATTTAAATTTACAATTGTTGCTTGAAAGTCATCTTTCTGCTCTTTTGAGACTGAGACAGCATATTACTGCTGTTGATTGTTCTATGACTGATTTTTTATGAGAAGTCTTACACCGTCCTACATTCATTCTATTTATACAGAAAAATAGGTAATAAGAGATCCACTTTTAAGTTATTCTTCAAAGGACAAACTATGGGAGACTCTTTATCAGGGAGCCCCCAAACTCAGCATAGCTAACCGTCGAAATGACTTTGCGTCTTCCTTGCTGTAAGCTCAATTTGAAGTACTCCTCATGACATTGAACATGTGCTACAAGAGAAAGAAGGAACCAAACTAACCCTATCCTCACTTTAATGAGTCTCCAGTGATGGAGAAAGTGGTTTTTCCCTAAGAGGTGTTTGGTGGTGAAGTCAAAGTACCAAGTACCAAGTCTTTGGATTTTGACAAACTTTAGTAGCCTGGCAAGACTTTTGTGCTCTTTCATGAATTATTTCTGATTTTGTGATCCCCAGTCCCACCATTAGGGCAAAGCACAGGACTTACAATGACGGAAACAGAAGAGTCCTCACCTTGTTAAGTGAGAGTGAAGCACCAGCCAATGAATAGGTGGAGCACACGCCGTCCTAAGGAGAATCATGGATGTCTTTTTAGAAAGAGTCCAGTTCTGCAAAGAAAAGATGGAGATTCTACATGAAAGGCACTCCATACCTACAGTATTCTGGGTTTGGAGATTTAGCTCAATTGTAGAGCAGTTTCCTGGTAAGCTCAAGGCCTTGGGTTCCATCCTCAGCTCTGGGGAAGAAAATAAATAAACAAACATATGCTCTAAAAGGAAGCAAAACTCCAATGGGGTTAGCTGAATTATCCAACAGTATTTTATACTCCCTACCCATTCATTGTTTGGAGCAACTTTTTGTTGCTTGTCTAGAATATTTAGCACAAGGACAGATGTTGCTGGGATCTAATTCATTGGATTTCCCCGGAAGCTGAGCGCACACTACCAGAGCCCTCCAGTCACAGAGACTAATTCACACCTCAAGGAGCAGAACATATTCCACAGGATAGGACGGTGTTTTCTACCTACTAATTAAAGCAGGCAATGAATTTAGAAAAGCAAGCACCCCGAGAGTGGGGAAAGCTGTGAAGGTTTTCCCGGGAAGCATGCCTGACGTAAGGCAGAGTTTGTTCAAACGCACCCATGATTTGAACTGGCTTTCCTTACAAATAGATGAGCTGCTGGCCGGGTACCGTCAACATAATTGTGCATAAATATAGCTTTTTAGGTATTTAATATTGAGTTTTCTCTGTGTATTTCCATCCAAGTTTATTTATTTTCCAAGTCTACTTTATTTATTCCCAATGTTTTAAACATTTTGTTGCTTATTCTTTTATTTTCTTTCTCATGCAATACCTGCAATGGTGCTGTGTTTTAAACTCATGCAATTGGAAGATGCAGACATTTGTATATGTATCTTCATAATCAAACGACAGTCTACCCCCCCCATGTACATAAGGTGAAAAGATGGTGCTATGTGTATATTTTGAGCTTTCAATTTGTTAACTTTTCTGAAAACTTACAAAATACCTGGCACATATTTACTTGAATTTGCTGTAAAGCTAAGATTTTTATATGTTTTCAAAGATTATTTTTCATATTAATTGACAAGCTATTTATCCTTTTGCCTTTTGGTTTATTCAAACATATTTATTTCATAATTTTAATATTTTCATGAACATGTGACTGGTGATCAATGCATTTGGGTTTTTTTATTGATCAGTTCATATGTAGAAAAAGATTTCTTGTTTTGTAAATTATATTCAATTGCATTCACTTCAGTTCCACAGAACAGAAACCTTTCTTATAAGTGGTATAGTTATTATTCTTCCTTTTTCTAATTTCTGTGACTGTGAGGCTGACTTATTTCTGTTTCAAGCATTTAGATTGATTCATGTGACTTGAGGAGGGGATAAAATGTTACATGATACACATTGAGAGTGACCTGTCACCGTGATTCAAGCGCATTTTTAAAACTAGGGCATGTGACTAAGTCTGATATACCCAGAGAGAGGGGCCTGAGATTACATAGCACAAACCCTCAATCATCTTGGAAAGTTGTTTTTCTTTTTGGGCCTCAGCTCTATTCATAACAAAGGGCTACAAGGGACACTCAGTCTAACTAGCGTAACAAAGAGACTGGCAGGTGCTCAACCCTTCGATAAAAATAAACACGATAATTTGGTCCCCCAAGTAGAATAGGAAATGTCCCTCTAAATAACCATTTGTTTCATTAAAAAAATAATAATTAAGAAAACTGTTTACTTCAGGTGTTGTCTTTAGCAAGAGGAAGAATTATTAGTTTTCTCTCATTTGTACTGCACATATGTTTAAATACAAAATAATTACAAGCCATGATGGCAAGATTACAACTAGTTTTTTTTTTCCTTATAAGGATTTTAGAACTCTTTTTAAATTTTATGCCAGTTCAGGTAGCAATTTTAGCTAGAAATGTTCCTATGTAGAGAAGATCTATTCCCAGTTCATTTTGCTGGCTTTTAGAGTCAAAAGAAAAGAGAGAAGAATGACCTTTCCACATGAAAGCGTTGAAGATTACTTCCAACCACAACAGAAGCTGTCTGGCTTGAGATTTTCCACGTCTTACCTTGATCAGAGCCATTTAAAGACTATGACCTCTTGTGCTTTTTTTCTGTCTTTCACAATATAGTTGAAGATTGAAATTTTGCCTACTACAAAGCTTAAGGAAGTATTCCACAATGTACTGCCTATACAAATTACCATTCGATTCTGAGTTTATAAGCAATTTCTATGGCTAGGTCCTAGACATGGTTCAGCTCTTCGGCATTTCTGAGAAACTTATTACATCCCTCCTTTGTCCACAAGATGGTGTTGGCGGCAGTTTGTTCAGAACTGGACAGACTCCCAGAAGTCTAAAACCTAGAAAACTTTGGTGAACGACTAAGTCAGACATTGGCCTTTGCACTTTTGTTTTGTAAATATTCTTTGTTATTCATTTAATTAATTTGCGTTTTTCAGAATTTTCAGTAGCTGTGTGAGGCAGGCACAATAGCTTTTGGTTTGTTGGTTGTCTCATTTGTATTTATTTATTATGTGTATACCTATATGCGACATGTGAATTTGCTATAAGGCTGTCTTATGCCACTTTTGCATTTTGGTGACTACTGTGCACACACTAAGTATTCATCCCTCCTTGCAGACAGGGCAGGTGTCCCTCTGACAAATGAAACACATTTAGCTTAGCACAAGGAGCTATTTACACATTACACAATGTCTAAACTCCTTATTGCTCAAGATAAATTTTGCAATTAAATTTGTGCAATGTCTATTTTTCTAGAAATATGTCACCCTTTACAAAACTAAGTAAGAAAACTGATTTTCAAAATGCCATCCTTTTTAAGTGCCATCCTTCTTCTAGTGTTGGTAGCACTAGCCCAAGACTGAGAATTGGGCACAGTGATGTTGAGGTGATTTGAATGACCCAGGGAAAAGCTGAACAAATTTGATACTTGCCCTTATCCTTAACTTACTTTCTATGCTTGTCTAGACGTATCTACCACGCCAAGACACACGATGTTTTCTCTCCTGGCTTCAGAGTGGGACATACTCTCCCTTTGTAATCCTCTCATCTCAGAGATGAAGGAACCTCTATGAGGAGAATCCCAGGAGAGTTTAATTATCGCCCTTGAGGGTAATGTTGTAGCCCATTGAGTTGTATGTCTTCATCATCACTTGTGTAAAGTGGTGTTTGTTGGATTAAACATATCCAATGAGAAGGAGTTCCAGGACGCAGAAAAAAGAGGTTATTTCTGTTTCTATTTGCTAGTGTAGCTGGAGCTACCACAGCAACATGTCACTGAACCAAGTCATGACTTTTTCATCAGTTTGGTTTGATTGAATGCAGCTCCAAGCAGACCCAGAGAACACTGATTCAGGCAAGCAAGCCAGCAAGAAAATAATTATCCAAAAGACAAAGAGGAAACTTAGTCTAGCAAGAAACAGCTACACAGAAAAATTTTCAAGTTTGATTTCAGTAGTGATGTATGGTTTGACTGAAGATGTCAGCTGGTTACTTCATGGACTTGCCCAAAGTGAATGCTGGAAAACTAAACTCCGGACTAACTGCTCAGCATGTAACAAGAGTCTGGGCGTTGCTTGACCATAACAAGCCGACAGGCATCAACATTAATTTTACAACTTTTTATTTTGCTTTGGTTCTTAAGGTGTATTTAAAGGATAAATACTTGTAGTGAATTTGAATTCAGATTGTATTATGGACTATTTTATAACTATTTATTTTTAAAATAACATTTGGGATGTATTTTTCTCCATTTTGTTTGTGTGCTATCTTACTTCATCAGCTATTTAAGGTTGAGTTTTATTACACTCACTTCAAGTGGAATGCTCCTCGCTTATGATAAATCCCAGTGAATATACGCTTGTAGGCCTTGGTTCCTCTCGCTTTATTATGCGTCAGGAATGCCTCGCCTCTCTCAGCAATAAAGGAATCCACTCTAAATCAGGGACCTCTAAGGTGCAATTCTTAACACTGTGTCTACACTTCTGTCCTTCTCCATGGCTGAAGCTCCACCCCAGTTCTGTTCTGTTAGCTCCGAGCCACACTGAGGCTTCACAGTCACCCTCACATCAAGAGAAAGCCCACAGCATCCATGGAGCCCGGGACTGCTCTACTGGAGGCTCAGTGTCTACCACACTGGCCTCACAGTTTGAATTTGTGACCTTCCTCCCTGGCAAACTATGCAAAGCCCAGCGTATTGATTTCAGATGAGAATTATAAACAGAAACAGAAGTAAGAGTGAGTCCAAAATGATGTTCTCTTCTAACAGAAGTTAAAATCGAGTTAGACTTCTTGCTAGAGAGAGCTCTTAGAAAGCTAAGACGAGCCGTGACTAACGTTCCTCCTATAATAAGTTTCTTAGCATGGCAATACATATTTAAATATATAGTATGTTTTCTAAGAGAAATTAATTAAATCAAAATATGCCAGTGGCTTTATATGTCTATATGGACTAGCTAATGGCTTAAACAGTTCTTAACTATCCTTGCCTTCATATTCCCTTACAATAAATGAAGTGGGTGCGCTCTAAAAAGTATTGTTGTCTTCTCACATGAAACTGTGAACTTGGAGACCAAATAAAAACACATCAAAATAAACTTGAAAAAGAAGACATGAATCCCAAAACGTTGCTTGGAGTCAATTTCCTCCATTTTTTTTCTCTTCAGTTACAAATGTAGAATGAACAGCAGCACACAAAAGCATGGGAAGCAGAAAGTTAGTGTAACTTGACAGTTTTTAAGACACAAATATTTATCAGACAGCTCCCTCTTGCCAATAACCAGATCTATCAAGCATGCTACAGGTCTTTGGATAACCTTCTCAATGCCATTTGAGCGCGTGTATTGCATATACAATATTATAAATGGCCGACTTATGTTTAATATTTACTGAGCCATTGGTACTTAATGTTCAACATCAGAAGTTGATAAAAACAATTTAAGTACACAACTGGACAGTATTTTACTACACAAAAATTATAACCTATAAGGCCTAAGCACGAATATTGTCTTAGAGTTTTAGACTACTATTTATGGCCATTTTCCATTCGTAACAACATCTCACTAACGTCTCATTTTTAATGCCATTTATATGCCCCCTTCCCGAGGGTTACCAGCATGCTTAAAGGTAATTCTCCTGCTATTTCTGATTATTTGTGCTATGGGAGATTTTTTTCACCAATATTGGTTAACTTCAAACCTGGAGATTTTATACCTCAGAAACAATATACCTCCAAAATTAAATAATTCGATTGTAAGTGATCTTTGAAGCAGGGATTTAAATTAAGCACAGTTGGGGTCATATCTGATAATGATTAAGGGTAGTAATATTGGTTTAACCAGCTTGAAATATAAAATATTCTACATGGGTCACCAAACTGTATGATATGACTACTCATTCATACTCTTCTGGCAAACAGAAGACAATTATCCAAAATCATCAACAAATATATGTGCTCAGACTAGAAAATTATTTTCATACTTATTAACCAGCCTGTTGGCTATTAGGATTACGCATCAAATCATCCCGCCTTGGAAGCATGAGTAGAAAGAAACCAGAAATCATTTGCTCTTGACTAATAAGCCAGTTTCTCAGCAACTTCAGCTGTCTACACATTCCCCTCTTGACAGGTTCTCTGATCGACACTACCCAATCTCTAAAGCACATCAAGGAAGATGTGGAGATCTCTCTTTTGCTAGGGATGCATAGTAGGCCTGCCTGGGTTTAGCAGCCGTCTTTCACGAGGAGCATTCACTAGGCACATTTTTTTGCAAGTTTTTCATCAAATATTAGTGCTTCCCGTCAACTGTTTCATTTAACTGAGATTTACAGTGGGCTGGTTGTTCCTGCCATTTGGGGTGTGCTAGTTTTGCATAAGCTGTCTGTAAGTGGCTGTCCCCAACATTACTGTACCTGTGGGTCTTGTTGTCCTGCCTCAATATGCATCAAGTTTGTGTAACAGTTGGGTGAACTGATATTTGAAATTTTATTTTTTTATTTCTTATGAATACGATGTTATAGGACTAAGGAACATGTTTAATTACTTAATTTTTCTTTCCCTGTATTTGGTTATTGTCACTCTAATTAAAGATAAAAGCACTTTGATGAAAAGATTGTTTCTTTGCACGTTTTATTTTGTGTCATAGAAAACATAGACCATTTTTATATAGTATGTCATAGAGAACTGTCGCAGATGCCTCCATTCTCAAAGCTGTCTTCCAAACAGGGGAAGGACAGTCTAGATAAATGGTGCTGACACGTAGCCAACCTTTCTCTTTAGAACAATTCAAAATGAAAGCACTGAACTACGTGCTAAAAAACGGGAAGCAGAGGCAGGCAGATCTTTGTGAGTTCGAGACCAGCCTGGTCTACAAGAGCTAGTTCCAGGATAGGCTTCAGAACTATAGAGAAACCCTGTCTCAAAAAATAAAAAAAATAAAAAAAAAGTAAAGAAATTTTATGATACAGATTTTATGTTTGATTTAACCATGGCCATGGGAAGTCACTCTCCCTCTTACCCCACCCCAAACACACCAGACTTGCTAGCTAAGTCACCCATTTCCAAACCAAAATCCTATAAGGGATCCAGGATCCCTTCTGAGTCTTTTTAAGCCTTCTGGTAATAAAGGCTTCGAGGTTACCTGCCAAGGTAACTCCAGCCAGTTCTAAAGCAGAGGCAGTCTCTGCCCCTTGGGGTTCCCTTGTAGGGGAGACAGTCTCCACAGAGGCATAACCCTCCTGACTGTAAGTGTATAAAACTGGATGCAGTTCTGTACACTCTGATCCCAGGCAAAAGGCTTGTGAATGGGTACTTGCGGGTTCAAGTTCGATCCCCAGACACCCCTGGGGTGTCTCCAACAAAATTTATTCAAGTTGGGATTGTCTCATACCAGATGTTAGTTTGAGTTCCCTCATCAATGTGTAGGGGCTTTGAATTCCCGTCTCCTGTCCTGTTCTGTTCTCCCCATCTCTACCCCTTCCCCACACTCGGTTCCTGCCTGCTCTTCCACATTGAACTGTGTAAATGTCTCGTCCTTCTGTACGTACGTTACAGCCCGGAAGGGAAAGCTGGAGAAGCAGGCTGCTTCATGCCCAGCACGTGACTGTTTGCTCCACTTCCCCAAAGGCCTGGGAGACCCTCAGCTTGGGCTTCGGCGCGGCTTCTACAGATGACTCAGACTCTTTGAGCCTGCAGAGCCACATTCCAGGGTCTCTAGGGCTCTACTTCCTCTCTCCTAAACATCTCTTTTTCCAGCTCTTCCTTCCACTCTATGCTTCTGCCCGCTCTCCCCTGTGCTGCTGCTCTGTTTTGCAGATTCCTCCGCAGCACCTTCTTCAGGCTCCAGTGCATGGGGTTTGCAAGCCTGCAGCTCCCTGCCCAGTTTGGACACTGTTGCCCACAAGAGGGCATCGTGAGTGGCAGGACCTGGCCGCTGGTGATGGGCTGGTCCTATAGGAGCTATGGTGGATGCTGCTGCCTCCACCACCAGGGCCAGGAAGTGTTTTTTATTCCTAAGGTTTCTTATGTGCTGCTATATACTGTAAATCCTTATTTCAGGATTTGTAAGTTGGTCGTCTGACGTGGCTTTCCTGGGGAAAGTCTTGTCTGTCTTTCTGTGAAAACGTCCGATCTAGTCTGTGAGTAAGGATCAGGTTCAGTTGGATGTGTAAACTTGAGGCCACTGCATGCTTGTTTCTGACAGGTCTCGGATGCCTGACTGTGTGTGTTCTGTGTGTCAGCTGTTACCGCCGCAGCTAACTGCCTGGGATCAGAATTCGCCTCTGGGCTTTTTTAGCCATGAATCTGATATGACAGTCAAATTTATTTTATGCTGTTCTACCCTATTAAACAAAAACAACTAAGAAATTGGATGTGGTTTAAAATATGTAAACCTGGTAACTCCAGGTCGAAACTGTTCTGGAAAACACCACATGGTCTGCCACCACCTTAATTAAATACACCATTTTGACTGAGGTTGAAAAAGAGGGAGATCATATGAGTTCACACCATCTTAAACAAAAATGACCACATAGAGATGGCCCCACCAAAGAGACATTAGGTCTCCAATATATTTTTAGATTAGTATAGATTTCTGGATGAGAGTTCCTGTCCTAAAAACAATGTTTATGAAAGATGGGACTTAAAACAACGCTGGTTACTGAGGTATTTAAGCTGCCCCTCTAAGCATTCAGGTACAGGGATGTATCTTGCTGGCAGCCAGATTCCACAACGTAAGAATAATCCCCTTGCCTAGATTGTTTACAGTGCTAAAACTTGGTTTTGCCTTCCACAGATTACGACTAAGCTCTATGTCTTAGGACCACAGCTGAACACCAGAGACTGAGTTATTTCTGTTTTATGATACAGCAAGGCAATGACCTAAACGGTCTGACAAAGGTTCTCTCCTTATCTAAGGTCTATTCAGGCTGACAAAAACCAGTTTCAAAACATATATCTCACTTTCTTGCTTTTACTAACATTGTAAGCTGTAGCTAATTCGGTAAACAAAGTCATAGAGAAAACTGTTGTGTTCTGTAGTGGTGTACTTAGACATATAAATTACTTCAACTTCTTTGATATGTTCAGTATGTTCAGATGTTATCATTCATATATATATATATATATATATATATATATATATATATATATACTAAAGTTGAGCTTAAACAATATTTGTCTAGTTTAGGTATAACAGATAATGATCCCCTGATCCTCAAGAAAATGACTCAGGTGAAATTTATCCTCCTCAGAGCTGATGGTGTTTGGTGACTAGGGTACCGATAGACTTATCAGTTTAACACTTCTCCCCCTGACCCCCAAAGCCACAACCTCCTTGATTGCTCCTTAGTTCATTAGTTAAGTTACATGTTGAAACTACAGACAGGTTTGCCTCATTCACTGGCTTCATATAGTACAGAATAAACAGGTTTCAGACGTAGCTTTCTTTGGAGGCTCAGAGTTTTAGCATTGATAAATGCAGTTTTGATAGAAGCCTGCAGGTGTGTTCAACTCTGTTCCTCCTCCCTGCTCCCCAGCCTCCTTCCCTCCTTCCCTCACTCAGCCTCTTTCATACAGTGTATTTCCTCTGGTTGTTCTGTAAGGGAGTAGACTTAAAGGTGTGTTTCATTGGGAGCCCTGGGAAAAATGTTCATGACTTTTTAACCCAAAGCCATAGCTTTTTTCTTTGACACCCAGATGTAAATCTATTCCAGCTGTCTTACAGACACCTGTGTGTTCTTGGTGGAAGGATTCTGCTACTGTATCAAGAAATCTGGCCTGGTAGAAACTAATCTCAGTCTCCAGAGCCCCTATTTGATCCCACCCACCTGCAAACCTGCCTTTTACGTGTTCACTCCTCCTGCCAGACATGCACCAAGGCCAGCCTTCAGGGGGACCTCCGATACAGCAGCCCCTGCATCAGTACCAGGGACACCAACTAAGGGCATCACCTTGGTGAGGCCTGGCAGGTTGACTTCACCCACATGCTCACTCAAAATAAGCTCCGTTATCTCTTAACTCTGACAACTTTACAGGATGAATAGAGGTATTCTCCACCTCCAGGGAAACAGCAGATGTGATGGCTCAGTTACTCCTGGAACACATCATTTCCCGATTTAGCGTGTCGTTCCCCCAAACTCCTGGGATAACAGTGCTGGTACCACCTCTCCTGGCTCAAGTGGGCACCTATCCAAGATGAATGGTCTGTCCAACAATTGGAATCCTCCACCCTCTGGCTTTTCAAAATGTCCCAGTGAGCAGCATATCTGCTCTTCTGTCGGGCTCACTAAACATGAGCCCACTGACTCCTAACTTTCCCTTTCATGTTGCCCCATGCCACAGGAAGTAGAAAGTCTTGAACCAGTGCCTATATATCCAAGAAGGTTGGGATGTTCAAGTTGAAAGCTCTGCTCCAGTCTCACTTTCCCCCATTCCAAACTCTGCCCCTTAGAAAGTTCACCAAGCGGTGACTCCTCCCCGAAAGCTCAAGACCACACCTACAGGGTATTTAAAACCCTGTCCCTAGACCTGCAGCGTGATTTCTTCTCTTTCCCCAAGATCACCCAGGAATCCAATGATACAGAAGAACTTTGGGTGACAGTCCAGGCAGCAAGATGTCTCTGTCAATTTTAGAGTTTTAGAAGTTGCTTACAATGCACTTCCTGTTAACTTAGTTAATACTATATCCTTCTGGTGTCTTTGATGGAGTTGAAGAATAGATAGTTATAATTAGAGTTTTCCTTAGTAGTGATAAAAGATAAAAGAAATATAAATATTATAACTCTAATTCTTGCTTGATACCTGTTTATTATATGTAATTTTACTATGTTAAAGTTAAAACCTTCCTTTTTATTTAGACAAAAAAAGGGAGGTGATGTGGGATTCCTTTCTGCATGCTGTGAATTTGCTTTGTTAATGAATAAAGCTGCTTTGGTCCTATAGCAGGGCAGAACAGAGCAAGGCAGGAATTCCAAGCAAAGCTAGAGGAGAAAGTAGGTGGAGTCAGGGAGACACCACGTAGCTGCTGCAAAAGACAGATGCTGGAAGGAACTTTGCCAGTAAGCCACGACCTCGTGATGATGCGCAGATTAATAGAGATTGTTTAACTTAAGATGGAAGAGGTAGCTAAAAATGTGCAAGAACCATTGGCCAAGCAGTAATGCAATTTATACAGTTTCTGTGTGATTATTTTGGGTCTGGACGACCAGGAACAAATAAGCAGCCTCTGTCTACAGGATCACACTGCATCTATAACTCACTTTTGGTAAGACAACCATTTTCACTATATTATTTTTACCAGCTGTAAACATGGAAGGTTTTTTTTTTCATTCTTTCTCTAGTGTCTTGTTATCTTCAGTGTAGAGGACTTTCACATCCTCAGTTAGGATTATTCCCGGGTATTTTGTATTTTTTGACACTATAAGGAAAGATTGCTTTCATGACAGTTTTCTCTGTGTGTTCATTGTCAGGAGGTTAGACAGCCACTTACTTTGTATCCTGCTGCTTTGCTAAAGGTTCATTCATTCTAAAAGTTTCCTGCTGGACTCTCTTGAGTTTATTATAGATAGAATCATAATGCCTGCAAATAGGAATAA